TGGAGTCTTGTTATGTCACCCAGGCTGGAGTGCAGTGGCTCAATCTCGGCTCACTGTAACTCCCACCTCCTGGGTTCAAGTGATTCTCCTAACTCAGCCTCTCAAGTAGCTGGGATTACAGGTGCCTGCCACCACACCCAGCTAACTTTTGTATTTTTAGTAGAGACAGGGTTTCTCTATGTCAGCCAGGCCAGTATTGAACTCCTGACCTCAGGTGATCCACCCACCTCAGCCTCGAAAAAAGAAGGGAATCTAAGAGGAGCCAATTGTCTCAAAATACAGAAGGTTAGACAGTTCAAACCAAGACCCCCAGAATAACTGAGGGCCACTCCCTTATGAAGCAAGACATTCCAAAATGAAAACTGAAGCTCAGAATATTGCTAACATAGATGTATAGTTGTCTAAATCTACAGGACAGTGATCAACAGGAAAATATCATTTCCAAGAGAAAAACTCAAATATTCAAAAAGGCAAAATATTTTTTTTTTTGAGATGGGGTCTCACTCTGTCACCTAGGCTGGGGTGTAGTGGTGCCATCTCAGCTCACTGCAGCCTCCACCTCCTGGGTTCAAACGATTCTCCTGCCACAGCCTCCTGAGTAGCTGAGACAACAGGTGCCCACCTTCACACCCAGCTAATTATTGTATTTTTAGTATAGACAGGGTTTCACCATGTTGGCCAGGCTGGTCTTGAACTCCTGACCTCAAATGATCTGCCCGCCTCAGCCTCGCAAAGTGCTGGGATTATAGGTGTGAGCCACTGCACCCGGCCGCAAAAGAAATATTACATTGTTGTCCTGCTAATGTTTTAATAGGGAAAGCACTGGTAGCAGATGCAGTGAGCAAAACATGGCACTCGGGCAGCAATGGCCTGTAGATGTGGCATCGAGCTTGCCATTCCTAGGTTCTCAGAAGCAAAACTTTATGAGGAATAGTTTAACTGACCCCATCTCTGTCATTATTCAGAACAAGCCCCTGAACTGGAAAACCTCACCGTGACTGAGGTTGGCTGGGATGGCCTCAGACTCAACTGGACCGCAGCTGACCAGGCCTATGAGCACTTTGTCATTCAGGTGCAGGAGGTCAACAAGGTGGAGGCAGCCCAGAACCTCACAGTGCCTGGTAGCCTCCGGGCTGTGGACATCCCAGGCCTCAAGGCTGCCACACCTTATAGAGTCTCCATCTATGGGGTGATCCAGGGCTATAGAACACCGGTGCTCTCTGCTGAGGCCTCCACAGGTATCTCTTCCCTTTCTATTTATAGCTTCTATTTTTCCCAGCAGGAAACTACCAGTGAATCGTTAGACACAACTAGCTTTGGAATGGACATGTTCTCCCACTAGTTATGTCTATGGGGTTTAATTGTGACATCAGGCCATCAGGCTACACAATCCCAAGGCCACCTTTAATGCTTCACTCCACATGAGTGACACCCTTGGGAGTTGTACAGAGCTCAACCTGAGGGACTAAACACACAGCTCCCGTGGAGGGGACCTTTAACTCCATAAACAGCCTCCCTCCTGTTAAGGGACATTAAGGCACTATACATGAAAGGGAAACAAAATCACAAAATTCTCTCATCTACTGAGGGCTAAGGCAATTCTTTAAGATTTAAAAAAAAAAAAAAATTTCCCACGCCCTCTCTCTTTGCTCCATTTCTAAACGTTAAAGTGTTGCATGATGCATGTTTATGTTTATGCAAAGAAAGTCACATTTTTTTAAGTAATACAAAGCTTTTTCTTGTGTTAAAGATTCCCTGGAACTTGTTGTGGGATTTGATCACTAAACTAGTTCTTTGTCCTTCTCCAGGGGAAACTCCCAGTTTGGGAGAGGTTGTGGTGGACGAGGTGGGCTGGGACGCCCTCAAACTCAACTGGACTGCTCCGGAAGGGGCCTATGAGTACTTTTTCATTCAGGTGCAGGAGGCTGACACAGCAGAGGCAGCCCAGAACCTCACGGTCCCAGGAGGACTGAGGTCCACGAACCTGCCTGGGCTCAAAGCAGCCACTCATTATACCATCACCATTCGCGGGGTCACTCAGGACTTCAGCACAACCCCTCTCTCTGTTGAAGTCTTGACAGGTATTCTAGACTAACTCATTAATTCACTTCCTCCCCTTTGTCTCTGCTCAGGAAGAATCAAAGTACTATCTTGCTCTAAACTGGGATCAGCTCCTACGACATTGGGGAAACACCAGTGAATCATCTTTGGTTCTTCCTAAATGTTACATCCCTTATTTGGCTAAGTCATAGTTGTAGCCCAGTTCCATGGAAAATTCCACCTACTCTTCCTTTAAAAAAGTGAGAGGTGACTTTTTTTCAAAGTAAGTTTCAATCACAATATCGAAAAAGTTGGAAAGCCCAACCTGTAAGTGAAGAAAAAATAGCTCTGAGCTCATGAGTTCATTTTAAGAACACCAAAGGACTCCCCATAACCCTATTTGTATGTCAAGAATAGAAATTGTGAACAATTCCTAAAACTACTTTTCATTCCCAAAGGCTGAATAGAAAAACCCTGGCTTTAGTGCCAATAATTTGAGTGTGCTCAACACCTGCTGTAAATCATGCATCTGTAATCAACACTAAACAGACGACTCATCCCAACCTTAGCCAAAATGCCATCTCACCTGAATCCGAGAGTGCAATTGCCTTTTTAAGTAACTCAGCAACTCTGTGTCCTTATGCAGAGGAGGTTCCAGATATGGGAAACCTCACAGTGACCGAGGTTAGCTGGGATGCTCTCAGACTGAATTGGACCACGCCAGATGGAACCTATGACCAGTTTATCATTCAGGTCCAGGAGGCTGACCAGGTGGAAGAGGCTCACAATCTCACCGTTCCTGGCAGCCTACGCTCCGTGGAAATCCCAGGCCTCAGGGCCGGCACTCCTTACACAATCACCCTGCACAGCGAGGTCAGGGGCCGCAACACTCGACCCCTTGCTGTAGAGGTCATTACAGGTATATGATCCTCCTCCCAGACCTGAGACATGATAGGAGCCAGCATACCATTGAAATAGTGAAAATTCCCGCATGTGGCAGAATTCTACCTCAATGTTGTTGGCAGACAGCATGAACTCAGGAGAGTCCGGGTTGGAATTCTACCTCACTGGCCAAATAATTTTGGGAATATGTGTGTATATATCTATAGATCTATAGTTATAGTTATATAGTTATAGTTATATAACTATAGTTATAGTTAATCTATAGATATATACACACATACACACACAAATATATACTTATATATAGTGTATTTATGATATATATTTTCCTTTTTTTGAGTCAGGGTCTCATTCTTTTGCCCAGGCTGGAATGCAGTGGTGTGACCACAGCTCACTGCCGCCTAGGCTCAAGTGATTCTCTCAACCACAGGTGTGAGCCACCACACTCAGCTAAGTGTTTGTATTTTTTGTAGAGAGAGTTTCACTGTGTTGCCCAGGGTGGCCTCAAACTCCTAGGCTCAAGCAATCCACTCACCTTGACCTCCCAAAGTGCTGGGGTTACAGGCATGAGCCAGTGTACCCTGCCTCTATTCTTGGGTATATTTCTTTACAGCCCTGAGCCTCCTCTTTTCATCTTTAAATCAGCAATGATAACCCTACTTCAGAAAACTGTCGTGAGCAATAAATGAGCTAATGAATGTCAGTGCCTAGTAACGTGCCTGCCCATCATGTAGTAAATATTGAATAGCAAATAGCTAAATTTATCATTCACCAACAGAGTCATGATTTTTAAAACAGCACAAACATGAGGGCTGTGGCACAAAAATAAGATCAGAACTTTCTAGAAAAAAACCTTATTGCTAGCCTCAGAGCCACCAACACCCAACTGATAGGCAGATCTCTACATAATAACCTTTGGAAGTGATACAGTTAGCTTCTGCTGAAACTAAGACTCTCCTTAACAGATACTCACAGCAGGGACATTTCCAAGAAAGGACAGCCACCTTTGACTTCAATGCTTTTCATTCAATTTGGGAAGGAAAAACAATTCCTCTCAATTTTCCACCAAAATGTTCTGCTCCATCTGTTATAGAAAACTATGTGCTGTATATGAGATTTCTAGAAATAGCTTCAAAAAGGGCTATGGGGAAAAAGGCCAACTTTTTGGTAATAGGGCTTCTATGCTATGCCCTAAGCCCATGCCCACTCTACATATCCTGCCTTTTGATAATGCAATCCAAATCACCCAATTAAAAAAAAATTTTTCTTGCTTATATATAACAAACTTGGCGGTTGCTAGAAACTACACACGATTCCAAAAATCGGGGGCCAGGTCATAGTCCTGTATTTCCTGGAATATCTTCTGACCAAACAAGAGCAAAAAGGGCCTTTGAGATAGGTGTGGCCTGTGGGCAAGATGCTCATTATCTTCATCTACAGTCTGCAAACTTGTCTTTAGCAGTACAACTGCTTTATGAAATCTTCTAAGGAAACCTGCTCTTTGACAGATAATGAACAGCTATTCTTAGTAAACCTGGAAGGAAGGGGGGATACCTCCATCCATGTTCTCAATACAGTTCTTCTAGAAAAGCCCCAGATCTACGTGAAACACAGTTTGAAAACAGCCCATCTTAAAAGGAAGAAGTGCCCAGACTCCCACAATGCACTGAATCCTTGGATACCCAAAAACAAGTATCTATCTTTCACCTTTTTTTTTTTTTGGTTGCAATCTCTGCAGATAGTTTCTTCCCTAAACTTCTAACCCATGGCCACTTCAGCCTTCAAAACAGTGGCTGAGAGATTGCATTTAACCCTGAGGAGTAACCCACAAAGCAGTGGGTTTTTCCATATCCTAAATCCTAACTTTCTCAATCACCAATAACAACTACATTAAATTTCCTTTCTACATTGTAGAAAAACTAATAGTGGGTTCTCTTCTGCACCATTTACTGAGAAAAACATCCTCTCTTTTAATTAAAAGCAGGCACACTCATTGCACACAAACAGCCTTGCTCTGTGATACAGCCATTCTTCATTTAGACACAAAGTACAAATAGAAAAAGGTGAAAAAAGAAGCAAGCTGAGAACCCAGAGCATAACCTTTGATCCCTGAAAGCTGATAAAAGACCAAAGGAGCATACTTGTTCACAGCTGAGACAGCATACACTTTATAAACCCAGGCAGGTAGCCAGTGGCTAGTGATGAGATAATCTTTCTATTTACAAATAATGAAATAAAGCAGGCATTTCTCCCATACGTGAGTAAGAAATTCCAAGGGAACACACTCAAACAATGATAAATTTATCTAGCTGCCACTTGTCGGCCCTTGCCATGTATCAGGTATGACACTAAGAAGTTGATCGATATCACCATTTAATCATCATGCAATCCCAGGAAATAGCACCATCAGCTCCATTTAAAAGTGAAGAGAGGGTGGCTCAGAGAGAAGCTCAGTGGCATGCCCAAGATTACACAGCTAGCAAATGCTAGTGTTGGGATTGTAATCAAGGACCACCTGCCTCCAAAGTCTGCCCTTCTAACCATTCCCATTTCTCTTACCCTGACCCACAGTCCTACTTTTCCATGTGAACTTCAGCTACTGGTAATGCATGCTCCCAGTGGGTTGTGCATTGGTGCAGATGTCTTTGCCATCTCAAGGATAAACCAGGCAGATGTTCACCTTTCTGGCCATTTTCAACTCCTAAAGAGAGCTGTGGCCAGAGAACCACAGTTCAAATTGCAAATGCTCAGAGACCAAGAATTAAATTTTTAAAAAATTTATCTTTCCCCTTTCTCTTTCCTAGAGTTGGGCTGTGGGATGTTTGGTTTCCTCATTTTTGGTTTGCAGAACTGACAAATACCTTTCTGTCCTTCTTCAGAAGAGCTCCCGCAGCTGGGAGATTTAGCCACATCTGAGGTTGGCTGGGATGGCCTCAGACTCAACTGGACCGCAGCTGACCAGGCCTATGAGCACTTTGTCATTCAGGTGCAGGAGGTCAACAAGGTGGAGGCAGCCCAGAACCTCACAGTGCCTGGCAGCCTCCGGGCTGTGGACATCCCGGGCCTCAAGGCTGCCACGCCTTACAGAGTCTCCATCTATGGGGTGATCCAGGGCTATAGAACGCCAGTGCTCTCTGCTGAGGCCTCCACAGGTACTTCCTCTCCCTGACAATGCTTTCTCCCCAGGGTTCTTTTATTCGTCTCCTAGAGATCATGCACAGAGTCAGCATCTCCCCATAACTGAATCCTGTTCATGTGCCTTTCACTGGCCGGCTGTGCATGCTCAGAGACCTCCCTGTGGGCTGCCTTTGTCCCATGCCTTTGCCATGTGGATGGTGAATGACGCAGATGTTGCCCTTTCTGATCTCCAGCCCGCCCCCGCCCGCCACACCTTTCATACTTTACCTGGCTGATTCTACATCTTTTTTGAATGATGAATTTTTGTTTCAGGAATCAGCCAGATGGTTTTAATTCACTTCTCCAGTGCTTGGGTCTAACTAAAAGCCCCACTCTGTGTATATGAGTTCTGGTGGAGCACAGATTATTTACTTTAGAGAATCTTTTGCTAGTTGGAAATGGTGCTTTCCTATCTCTAAAGCCCTCAAGGATATGAGTACTGTGGTTCTTGCATTTAAGAAATGTTTCTTTAAAATGCACCCAGTATAATAAGAGAACTGAATTACCCTCCTCCGGGCAATTCTCTCAGATACTGAGTCATTGTTAGAACATCAAATTAGCAAATAGCTAGACCATAAGGAAAAAAAAGGAATTACACAATTATGACTGGAGACTGTACCAAAGAGAAAGCCATTCATTAGCACAAGTACACACAGCAGCTTTTGGAACAAGGAATGTCCCGGGCTATGAATGTCAAAGAACTGATACCCTTTTAGCTCTTTTAATCGACTTTCTCTCTGGATTTTTGGCCTTTGGATGGCAAACTCCCAGCCCCAGACCCAGGAGGGTGCATTACTGTTTACTCATCTCTCTACCCCTGTTACAAGGCTTCAGTGTTTCCCGGGAGCCTGCTAAAATCAGCAGTCTTCCCCTGGCACCGTTTTCCATTGCTCATCTTTATCATGTGCCTCCATGGATTTGAAGCTCGGTAGAGACTATTGCTTCATTTTGCATATGACTTCCCCCTTTTAAAATAATTATTGCAAGTAAACTGTAATGCATACCTGTATTGAATTGAATCTAGCAAGAGCATAGCTCTGCATTTAAACCTCAGTCATTTCACTTATTAAACATAAACATAAACATAAACCACTGCCTGACAGTGACCCTGAAATGCCTAGAATTTGCATCTGAGGCTACTCTGAAGGCACCCAAGGCATCTTTTATCTGACACCCATAAACCATCCCTTCCCAGAAGACAAAGTAATCACCCACCACTTCTGATCTTTCCTGCAGATCTTGTGGTTTTTATGTCCTCAGTATTTTTATGTGTGTGTTTTCCTTCTTAACAATAGCAACAGTCTTGCCACTGATGAATTGGCCTATGGGCGGGAAGGACCCTAATCCCATCTGATCTGTATCTCAACAAATCTATTAGAAGGATCTCAGAGACCAGGAGCCTTCTTTCTTGCTAAAGAGACAGTACTAGCTTTTCAAACCCTGCTCCTACCTGCCCTCTACACATTTTATTCTTGTGGCTGGGGAAAGCACTGGCAGGACCATCTCCAAGACAAAATGTTACTTGTTCATTGAAAGGGATGACCTAAACTGCTTTGCCTTGGTTTAGAACTCTTGGTTGGCAATGCAGTATTAGCCTACCAGCAGTTAAGTGAGGACACGCTATTTCAACAAAATATGAGAATGGCTGGCTGGTCCTTGTCTGAAGTATTAAAAAATACCAAGAATTACACTGAGAAATTGATAATTCCCATTAAGTCACAAAATCAGATGCCTCAAGTTACCACTTTGGGAGGGTAATGGCATCAGAATTATTTAGCCTTCATTTGAATAGATGGGAGCTCCTTCAAAGCAAAGAATGTCTGTGAGAGGCATCCAAGTAATCTTGGTCTCCTTAATCCGATTCAAGAGACTGGAAGCTGCTGGGACTCATATCTTTTGACTTGTGGCCAGCAACTCTGAGATAGGGCTCCCAGAGGCATGAGCGGCTGAGATGCAACAGTTCCTGATAAGATCATTCAGCACATCTTCTTGGCTAGGGCCTGATTGTATGTGGCAACTGCATGTAGAGAAATCTAATTGCCATACCCTTACCTTCTTTTTTTCTAATTTTTCTTTTAACAAAACTGCTGCTTCTCTCTCTTTGGCACTAATTGGTAACATTGCTTCCTTCCATCATAGCCCTGAACTATCAGATCTCTCTACCCAGCAATGGTTCCATTAACAACCCCAATCTTAAAAAAGCCAAATAATTAACTCAAATGTATTTGTTTCTTCTCCCCCACCCCTTCCTTTTTCAGCCAAAGAACCTGAAATTGGAAACTTAAATGTTTCTGACATAACTCCCGAGAGCTTCAATCTCTCCTGGACAGCCACCGATGGGATCTTCGAGACCTTTACCATTGAAATTATTGATTCCAATAGGTTGCTGGAGACTGCAGAATATAATATCTCTGGTGCTGAACGAACTGCCCATATCTCAGGGCTGCCCCCTAGTACTGATTTTATTGTCTACCTCTCTGGACTTGCTCCCAGCATCCGGACCAAAACCATCAGTGCCACAGCCACGACAGGTACATGTGCATTCTCCCATTTCTAACACTCTCTCTCCACAGTCTTCTTTGCAGGGTGAAGCCACTCCTTCTCCTCACCCATTGCTGTACAACCCACAGGGCACTAACTCTTCCATGGTGCTAGGCTGGAGTTCTGTTTAACATAACTCTTTTCCAACAGCAGCCCAAATAATGGATTGTCATAAAGTCACCTGCCTGATTTATCACTGACCATGATATTTGCAGCATAAAATGCAGTTCAGTCTAGGTTACCATATGGAATCTAGAGAAAATAATTCTAACCTCTGATAACTAAAAAGCTATATAAGAAGAGCTGTTCTTGACTTTGAAAGATGCCTGCCTCAGTCAAAGAGGTCTTATAAATATTTTTTTGTATTAGCTTAGTGTCTTTGTCTTCCTTGTCTCTTTGACCTTGCAATACCCAAATATCCCAATGATTTAATAATTGTGTTTATGGTTTTGGGTGGTTTTTTTTCCCCCAATTGGGAAAATAAAGAGAAACAGCAAAGATTACTTATCAGATGAGTGCAGGAGGCAACCGTGCCATTCAGACCATTTCAGTTCCAACATCACCTCTAGAAGACCAGCCCATGCTGTCTTGCCCTCAGAATAATGAATGATAGGTAGCAAAAATAAAAGTAGAATAGTTGTGTTTCAAACAAGGGACTTAGTTTTAAAAAATAATGATGTGCTCTCATTTTAAATTTGTGGTATCTGTGAGATGTGCACTAAGTTGCTCTTTGCCATGCAGTAAAAGAGAACGCTAAGTGAATTTAAAGAGGAGCCACGTACATTCAAAATAATATTCTTAGCACATTTTAAACTGTGCCGTCTCTTGAGAGGTAATGAAGAAATCACAAACTAGAAAAAAAAGCAATACAGAATAAACACAGAATTTTTCCTTATAGTTTACAAAAAGGGGACTCATAGTCTGGGAAATCTGAGAAATGGGTTGACATTGTAACATCAAAATTGCCTGTCATTTAGGTCACCCATGGTTGAAGGAGGGTCTGTCCTTATTCTATATGAGGCTACAAATTGTCATCAGGTGGTCCACAGATAAGGCAGAGAGCCCACATTATCCAATTCCTATCTTAGCCAGATTCAAGTATGAAAAATCCCAGAGGAGAAAATTAGGCAAACATATATGCTTATTTCTCATGGCTCAAACTGATTTCCAACAAAGGACAAATTATTTTACTATTAACAAAGGATAAAATCTAAAAATTTATGGATTTAGTCTTATGTGTTTTGATTTTGACTCTATAATGGTGTTTTAAATTGACACACTTTCTTTTTTTTTTCCTTGCTTTAGTAGCCGAACCTCTTCTTAGCCACTTCACTGTCTTAAACATGACCTGGGGCAGTGTGTCCATCTCATGGGAAGCTCAGGAGTCTGCCTTTGATAGCTTTCTTATAGAAGTCAGTAATTCTGATCACCCCCAGGAGACCATGTTGCTCTCTGTGCCTGGGGTGTCTCGCAGCTCTGTCATCAACAACCTCAAATCATCTTCTAATTACACTGTCCACCTTCATGGGCTGATTGGCGGGCATCGTGCTCAGACCCTGATGGTCCAAGCAACCACAGGTATTTCCTATTATAGCTTCTTCAGTCTTCATTGAACTTCCTCTGAATAGCATTCCAAAAATCACTCACTACCCACTTTTCATCCTCCTAGTTGATCCCAATCCTTCTCAAATTTGATAGAACCATCCAAATAAAAGCTTTAAAATGTTAGAATAACTCTCACCCCAAATTAAAGAATTTCAGTGTCAATCTCTTTTTCCTAAATATCCATTCACATCTGGAGTCGTTCTGTTTGTTTATATAGAGTTAACCTGACTTGCTTTGGTTGAATTTCTAAACCATCCTTTCCTCTGATCTTGAATAATCTTTTCCAGTCCCACCCATTATCATCTTCCTGTGGTCTGTCTAATCAAAGTTTGCATATGTCATGTTCAAAGAGGTATGTGCATGCCATTTCTGGTGCCTTGGTCAGAAAGATCTACACTCCCTTTCTCTCCAGCAGAATTTTTTTAAAAATAAGGGTGCCCTGAGCTGAGCATGCTGAGAACGGACACTGAATTCCAAATCAACAACTGCATGAGAGGACCCAGTGGTCTTATTTTGTTCTTGAGATTTTTGTCTGAAGACTATCCTTTTTTTTTTGACATGTACTTTGTCAAGCATGTTTTGTCACTCACAGCTGTCACAAAGCCTCAGGCTCTTCTCTCCAGCCATCATCTTGTCCAAATCTTGGTGCATGTGGTGAATATTCATAGCATTAAATTTTTGAAAATGTTTCTCTTTCCTGGAAGCAGCTAGCATGTCAAGGAATCATTTCAGAAGGTTAGAAGTGGTTGGAGAAAAATGCCCCTCATTTTGCATGGAACACTGACCATACCCTAACTACCACTATCTTTCTCTGTTTTTTCTTGCGTCTCATTTCTCAGCTTGGTTGCACCCTTTGAGAGACAGCTGGAGGTAAAGCTGACCTCAAGAATCTAAGTCTTATTCTGCATGGTGAATCTGTTGGCATTGACTGTCTGGTAGCATGAAAAGAATTCTAGCATACATCCTTAATTTGGGAGATTGCTTCTACAGCAAAATATAGGGAAATAACAGAGTTCCACTTGGAAAATTTTTATCTTTTGCGTGATTGAGGGAATTTGTTGAGGTTGAGGTTATAGCTGAAAACAATTGCATTGCTACCTTCTCAAGTTAATTGATAAGTAGGAAATCCGAAGTCAATGCTAATGGCTGTATACTGCTTCTAAACCAAATCGTTTTTGTTCGTAGAGATTTTATTGCATTGAGTTATGCTGTACAGTTGTGCAGATAAAATTTATCCAAATGAGCCCCTTCTTTCCTCCAAATTTTGGAGCTGAAGCAAAATAACTCCCAAGGCCTTGGTGTGCCTCTTCCCAACCCTAAATCCTGATCTTAATATCTGAATCCTTCAGCACTCTCTAAAGCACAACCTGGGTTGCACTTATTTTAAAATTAGTTTTATTTGATAAATGAGCATTTAGGAGGCCAGCCCCATAAACATCTAGCCATATAGGCCCCTTAACATTAAATGAGTTGCTCTCAAAACTGAATGTCGAGATTTTAACAGAAAAGAGATATATAAACTCAGGGAAACCATCTATCTGTCCAAATTATCCAATAAGTGAGTTTCCTAAGCAGAAAATTTAATGTCTAACTTCAAGTTGTTCTTTCACTTTTGCATTCACCGGGAATTTCTAATGGAAGCCATCTTCACCTTTATGGTATTAAAGAGTGAAATATAGATTTTTCTACAATGCACATTAAATACTGTAAAAATTTCTCTTATATGTATATTACCCTTTAATTTGTGCAACCAATAGATACTAAAAAGAATACTAAATACGGAAACTCCAAAGAAACATTTTCTAAAGGATGTTCATTGGAACACCAGCTCCTTGAGATGTTTGAAGAATATTCCTCAGATAGTGTATGCATTGATCAGTAAGTTTATGAAATTATTGGCTAAAGAAAATGAAATAAGTTTATTTACAGAAGCAGCCTGTCAGAGCCTTTAAAATGCAAACCCACCTTGTGAATCTATGGTAAGATACAATATTCAGTGTTTACCATGCATACTTAATCATAAAGCTATCTTTTCTTGGAACATCTTACAGGGCTTGTGTCCCCATTACAAACTTTAGAAAATGTAGCCTTAATACCCTTCACATTATTCCGATCTACCACTCTAATGGCTTGTCTTCTCTTCTTCATACATGCCTAGCAAATGGTGGTGTCTATGCTTTAAAAGAGCACAAATCTTAAAAATAAAAAATAAGAAAAGAACACAAATCTATGCCCACAGAGAAAGCAATATATTCTCTCCCATCATATTCAGTGCAGGTGTAGACACAGCCTAACACACTACCTCTTCTGCATATATTTGGAGATATCAGTGCTTTCATGTTCGATGGCTACATTCTGGAGAAATCTGCTTCCTCTAATAAAGTCTCTCTCTTTCTTTCTACCCATGTTCCTTCTCCTTTAGAGCCAGAGCCACAGTTGGGCACGCTAATTCTTAACAATATTACTCCAAACAGCTTCAACATGTCATGGACTACTCAAGCTGGGCTTTTTGCAAAGATTGTTATCAATGTGAGTGACGCTCACTCACTGCATGAGTCCCAGCAACTGACAGTATCAGGAGATGCAAAGCAAGCTCACGTCATGGGCTTGGTGGAGAACACTGGCTATGACATCAGTGTGGCAGGGACCACCTGGGCCGGGGACCCCACCAGATCCCTCACTGCCTATGTCGTTACAGGTACTCAATCAGAAGTTCTCACTTGCCTGTTTAAAACTCTAACACAGGGAGAAAAAGAGATAAGTCATCTTAAAGGAAAATTCAACCAAAATACAGTCTTCACTCCAAATGTACACTCTTTTATTTTTGATGGACAAATAATGATTGTGTATATTTATGGAGAATACTGTGTTGTTTTGATATACACATACATTGTGGAATGATTAAATCAACCTGATTAACATATCAATCACCTCACCTGCTTTCCTTTTTTTTTTTTTTTTTTTTTTTTTTTTTACTCTTTTAGCAATTTTTAAGTTTTCAATATGTTATTATTAACTACGGCCAGTCACCATGCTGTGCAATAGATCACTAAAACTTATTCCTTCTGTCTAACTGATCTTTGTACTCCTTGATGAACATCTCCCCTTTCTTCATCTACCCAAAGTCAGTCGCTGGTAACCACCATTCTGCTCTGTGCTTCTATGTGTTCAGCTTTCTTAGATCACACGTGAGATCATGTAGTATTTGTCTTTCTGTGCCTGGATTATTTCACTCTGTACAGTGTCCTCCAGGTTCAACCACGTTATTGAAAATGAAAGAATTTTCTTCTTTTTCAAGGCTATGAAGTATTCCACTTTATGTATCCACTTTATAGATATAGATATATATACATACACACAGAATATATATATATATATATATAAATTATATAAAATATATATGCGCACACACACACTACTTTTTTTTTTTATCCATTCATCCATTGATTGACACAGGTTACAACACATTATTCACGATAGCCAAGACACTACATGTAAACTTCTAAGTAAAGAGAAGGCAGATACTATTACAAAAGAGAGGTCTTTCACAGCTACCCTTGGGAAATGGAGACAATGTTCTCAAGAGTTGTATAAAGCTTTTAGGATTTTTTGTGCCCAGTTTTATTGGCTGTTTTAGCCACAGTTTAGAGATTCTACCTAAAAAGTGAAACTTAAGTTAGTAAAGGCCTAAGATAGAAATTCTGCTCATAAATCATGTGAGGTAAGGCAGTTCATATATGTGCCCCAAAAGTATAACCATCCCTTTCTTTAAAAAATAATTCTTCTTAAAATTGGCAATACAATAGATTGATGAAGGTTCACCCTCAGATGGCAGATAAACTCCAAGTTTAATTAAGCCCTACCCATTCATTAAACTTGACTTCTTGAACATTTGCCAGTGTTCAATTTGGCAAATGCTGCCAAACGGTGGCAGCCAAGACTGCAATGGCAAAGGCCGCACATGGTGTCAGTTTACTAAATTTCTAGCCCAAAAAGCATCAGACAATATTTAGAAGTCTCTTGCTTTGCATTAATGGTAATCTTCAGAAGCCAGACTTTGCCATCTGATTTTTCACATTAAACCAGGTCTCTCCCAGGGTCTAAATTGCCATAACTAAGACATGTTAATTAGTATGATTAAATATTTAATTATAGGCAGCATGGCATCCTGGAAGAGTGAGGATTTTCAGATCAAGCTTATGTGGTTTCTAAACCTCAGCCTTTTAGTTACATAACTTTGATAAGTTCTTGGCTTATTTGAATCCTAATTTCCTTATGCATGGAGAGAGGACACCACAGGTACTTCTGGAAGCCTTGTCTCATAGATTAAACGGAGTTGATGAAATTTAACTGCCTAGCATCCAGCAGGTAATTTATAGATGCTATGGTCTTCCTACCATCTCCCAACATTATTGGGAAAGTGGCTTTCTTAAAAATAACCAATAAGCCTAGATAGAACAATAGACCTATGTAATCATGAATTCCCTCTCCTTTTTAAGAGAACATTGGATGTGTTTTAATATAAGATTAAAAAGTGATTTTTTTTCCTATCCAGTTACCTAATGTGAATTAAATCATTCAGATAAGTCTTCAAATGCAGAATATGGTAATTTCTTAAGGGAGTGAGACAAGGAGGAACAAGATGAGATTCTCACTGCTCAGGAGGAGAGAAATGGCCACAGATCCCATCAGGCTGTTGCTTACTGTAGCTGCCTGTAGGACCTCCCACGTAACAGAAGAAAGGGAAGCTGAGAGCCAGTCTTGGGAATCCTAGATCCAGTTACAGCATTGTCTCAGCTAATCCACGATGTGAAAAGATTGCGTTTTAAGAGAAGCATATTAAGAAAGAAAAAAAATGAAACAGGAGGGACTCTTAAATAACAAGCCTTTGATTGACTAATTAGCCTGAATGCCCTCAGTTTCATTGGAATTCACTGCTTTGATGGCGTGGAGGTGCAAAGAGGCCAGCTATCAAAGAGAGATGCCACTTATCTAAACAAAATCCAGGAACAGAATTTGATACCCTTGTCTCTCAGACCAAGATTGTTTGCACAGTATAAATGATTTCATCTTCGCCTTTGATAGAATTATGATCCTTGGGAAATCTTTACATGGAAAAACATGCCTCAGAATAAACACCAAGTATTTCCAAATAAGTACAGGAAGTCCAAGCCACAGCAAAATTTAAACCTCTATTCAGGGGATGAAGGCATTCATTCCCTTATTCATTCAGTCACCAAACACTTCTTTTTTACACATTTTTCTTTACATCTCATGGATTAGACCCTGAGCGTTAGTGAACTAATGCAAGAGGATTTATCTCTTTGAAAGTTTCCATTTAGCTGCAGTTGAAAAAGAAGTCACTAAAACTAGATGCAACTAACTTTGAAATTTCTGTCTCCTTTTCTTTCTTCTGATTAAAAAAAATGCATTTACCATTACTGTGGGTTAAAAACAAACAAAAGCTAAAAAAGAGATACTGGACCTTCTCCACTAATCCTCCTTATCCCTCAGGATTGCCATCTCTGTTTGGGGTTGGCTTTAGGTATGGAAAGAACATAGAACTTGGAGTCAGAAGACCTGGTTGGATCTCAGCTTAGGCACCTAGTAGATGTATGACCTAAGCTAAGTCATTAACATCTCTGATTTTTTTTTAGATGTGATTGGAGTTGGAAGGCAGGTAGCAATATCCATCTTACTGTATCATTCTGAGGATTAACTAGGATAATGATGTGAAGCTTTGTCAGTTGGGAACTATTAACAGAAACAGCCAACATAAGATCCCTTCTTTTGGATATCCCAATGTATGAATAGGCCCTTTAGCATCTGAGAAATCAGAATGCCTGGGACCTGCATGTTAGGTGAGTGAAGAAAGGAAGGTGAATGAATGAAGAAAGGAGGGATGATGATGACAGAACTTACTAAGACCCAGATGCGTCCTTGTTTTCTAACTTTATCCAGGAAAATAAACAGCAAAAGCTTTAGCAAATCTTTTATTTTCTTAGTGGGTAATAACCATGAGCTATTAACTTCGACACATAAACAAAAAACCTACCTCCTCTTTTTATTTCAGTTTGTGAGGATATGGCACTAATTGACTTCATTAATTTGACTCAAAATGTGCACTAGAAGAGGGATAGAAACATATGAAGTATACCAAAAAAAAAAAAATTATACTTGCAAAAAAAAAAAGTGGAAGGCAGTGGGAAGTAGAGAAAGGGATCCAAATTCAACACAATGTATCCTATTTGTATAGAGAACTGCATGGCTTTTAGAGTCAGACCCAACTAAAAACTTTGCTCTATCCCTTACTAGCTTGTGACTTTGTCCAAATCAACCTCTTTGAAACTCAGTTTTCTCACATGTAAAATGAGAATAATACCTACCTCACAGGCTATTAAGAGAATTGCACAAGAAAACACTACCTGGCACCCAATAAGCTCCTACTGAATTTTCATTTTCTGAGCATATAACACAAATTGAATGATGGACTTGGGTATCTATGGGTGTTCTTGGAAACGTGTGCTATCCTGACAGAGTCAGTGCTGCTAACCTGAGTTATTTTCACTCCTCCCTTCTTTCAGAGGCCCTGCCCCTTCTGGAAAACTTAACCATTTCCGACATTAATCCCTACGGGTTCACAGTTTCCTGGATGGCATCGGAGAATGCCTTTGACAGCTTTCTAGTAACGGTGGTGGATTCTGGGAAGCTGCTGGACCCCCAGGAATTCACACTTTCAGGAAACCAGAGGAAGCTGGAGCTTAGAGGCCTCATAACCGGCATTGGCTATGAGGTTATGGTCTCTGGCTTCACCCAAGGGCACCAAACCAAGCCCTTGAGGGCTGAGATTGTTACAGGTATTTCAAATCAAGTGAGCCATTCGTTCCTCTTCCTGGTCCCCTCCTGTGTAACCTGTCTCCCAGATCGCCATGACTTTAACATCTTTGTTCACATTCCCTCCTTAATCCACAAATGTGGTCTGCTGTTTCACGTTCTCCCCACACTTCTTCTTGTCTTATGTACCTAATGAACACTTCCTACTCTCACCCCAGAAATGAGAAGGTCGAAATATTTCCACTTTGAATTCAAAATTCTTTAGACCATGTCTTGTTCACAACTCTTGTGTGCTTATCTTATATCATCTTCCCTGGTGATCAGCCTGGCTGGTCCCCAGCTACATTTCAGCCTTCTCAAAAGAAATATACCAATGAGTATATTTCAAAAACGTGTTTAAAACCTATTCCATCTCAGAATCTCCACCGTGATCTTAACAAACTTACCCAGTGGGCTCATCATTGGAAAACCAACTGTGAACTTATTTTATTGGTAATCACTAATATAGAGAGATTCTGCAACACAGACTAAATCCATAATATTCTCAAGACTAATGATTCCTACAGAAATTAACAACTCTCCCAGTCGAAAATCTGTGTTTCTCAAAGTCTTTCTAGAGATTACTAGCTCCATAGAATGTTCAAAGTTCCTACTTGGTGATGAAATTCCATGTTCAAGTAAGTTTGGAAAGACTAAGTTAAAGAGGATCTTTAACTGCAGGCCTCTTCAGAACATCCTAACATGCATTATCTCCAAGAAGCACTTATCCAGGCAGTATTTTCCAAACTTATTTGACAGTGGATACTTTTTAAGGAAGAGGATCAAACAGAAATCAAATGCTCTGAGCACACTTTGGGAAACTCAGCTCTAAATCTACATTGACATTGAGTTTTGTCTAGTTAAGGCAATACAAGACGAAACCCTGGGTCCACAGTATGTAGCAGAAAAGATTCCAATCTCAATTCTACCATCTGAACATTTATCTAATGGTTAATAAAATAGCAAGAAAGAACGCAAGAAAAAAAAGTCAAGGGTAGGAGCCTTCTTTAGTGAAACAGCACTAAGAACAAAAAGACCATAACATTTTTTAAGCCATTTTGGTTAGACTCAAGGGGAATGTAATCAGCAGTATCATCATGAGCAGCTCTACAGATCGTTAATTCTGGTTTATTTGTCTTTTCAAGAAGAAAAGAAAAAGGTCTTGCAGAGAATGGGCACTCAGCCACTGGAAGACAGAGAGCAAATATAAACAAGTTACTGCCTTTGAACTTATTTAATAATATGTGGGAGGGGCCGATGCTGAGTCCAGATGTGGATTTACAGAATTGCTTTTAGACAAAACTCACATATGCAAGCATATCCTTGACTTGTATTGAATGTTTCAACTCCATCTTTCCCCTCTCCTGATCCTACTGGACTTGTTAATGTTGAATGATTTCATTTTCGGTATCCCAGGACACTTGTATCTCTGAAAGCTGGGGTATCACTACATATTGATGCCCCCACTGGAGAGAAGATTGCATGTACTGGTAAATGATGTTATCTTTCCTCCTTCTCCCACCATTCTCTTTCCCTCTAGAAGCCGAACCAGAAGTTGACAACCTTCTGGTTTCAGATGCCACCCTAGACGGTTTCCGTTTGTCCTGGACAGCTGATGAAGGGGTCTTCGACAATTTTGTTCTCAAAATAAGAGATACCAAAAAGCAGTCTGAGCCACTGGAAATAACCCTACTTGCCCCTGAACGTACCAGGGACATAACAGGTCTCAGAGAGGCTACTGAATACGAAATTGAACTCTATGGAATAAGCAAAGGAAGGCGATCCCAGCCAGTCAGTGCTATAGCAACAACAGGTACTGTAAATAAACAGGACAGAATAGAGAAAAGTCATGACTCAATGGTCTTCTTCTCACAGGGCCGGGTAATCACAGGAGCTTTGGGTGCAGGCAAGCTGGCACTCCTACCCTGGCTCTTTCAATTATAGATTGTGTTTCCTTAGACAATTTGGCTAAGTCCTTATGCAAAAAAAAAAAAAAAAGTATGATGCCATTTACTTAATGGGGTTGTGAGGATTAAATGAGATAATTCATGTAAAGCCCATAGCAGAAGTTCTGGCACATAGCAAGGGTTCCGCAAATGAGAGCTATTCACATTGTCCTTAATGCATCATCATCATTACAGTCATCATCTTTTATTTTTTTTACATTCCACAGATTCTTCCTTCTATCTATTATCTCATCATATTTTATCCAGAGATACACCCCTTTGTTCTCTGGCTAAATGTTTGAGCTACACCAACCAGGGAGATATGGAGAAGTGGTACCTCTACCTATAAAGATTAATATTTATAAAATGTTACATGTGAATAGTCAGCACAGTGATCAGCAAGGATAAAGGGGAGAGCTAGCAAGATTAACATGCTACTCTTTGTGAAGCTCTCTAACTTTATTTGATACTCATAACAACTCCGAAAGGCACCTAGAATGTCCTTGGAGTTTAATCACCTTTTTCCATAGGAGCTATTTCAAGGTATGACTCTTAGGCCCAGGGTGATGGCTCACACCTGTAATCCCAGCATTTTGGGAGGCTGAGCCAGAAGGATCACTGGAGTTCAGGAGTTTGGTTACAGCCTGGGCAACATAGTGAAACCCTTCCTGTACAAAAAAATTTTTAAAAAATAGCCAGGTGTAGTGTCTCACGCCTGTAGTATCAGCTACTTGGGAAGCTGGGGCAGGAAGATCTCTTGAACCCAGAAGGTCAAGGCTATAGTGAGCTGTGTTCATGCCACTGCACTCCCACCTAGATGACAGACCAAGACTCTATCTCAATAATAGTAATAATATGACTCTTTATAATAATAATACTAAGATGAACATGACTAAAGAGAAAAGGAAAGACCTCCAACAAGTAAATTATTTCATGAAGCTGAGGGAAATTCAGAGATATGGCATTCGCTGGAAACAGCTTCTTCAAAGGAAACCAAGAGACAGAATGACAAAATCACCAGGAGAGATAAAAGGGACCTGAGAAGTGATGTAGGTCAACCTCTTCTGTTTGTGTATGAAGACTCCGAGGCCCAGAACAGTGAAGTGATTTTTCTGCAGTCATAGAGCTAGATTTGGAGTAAAACCCAATGACCAACTTATTCTAACACTATTAAAAATGAGCAGGCTGGATGACAGAAAACCAATCAATATACCTGCTTGCCATCTCTGACAGGCATAGGCATGACATTTGCCAAAACCTCTCCTCCCTGTCTAAAGATAGATATTTTATATTGTCAAGTTTTCAGGACCTAACAAGTGCCAAGAAATCACCAATGGAAAAATTATAATCAGTATTTGTAGACTTGGAGAAAATGCTAGAACCTAGGCAGCAACCTAGTAAGAGGAAAAACCCTGTTCCTTATTAACAGGGACACCCTATCCTGGGATGCAGGTCTGAGTCTCCTCCTCCCTGTGGCTGCCCATAAAACGACTCCAGATCAGAGGCAGAGCCTTGATTTTGACCTTGGTTTATAAACAGTGCTCTTCAAAGTTTACTTCTTCTGATCATTGATTTTGTTTTGCTGATCTTTTTTCTACAAGCCCTGCAGTTCTAAAGCAAAAAATAGAATGAATAATCATGAGTTACATTTTTTTTAAAGAACAACAAAAAAAGGCAAGGCAGACCCTCTTCTTTTGGAAACCTCGCTCTTTGACTTTCTTCTCTAGAGCCTTGTAGTTTACAACCAAACATAGGAGTGTGTGTGTGTGTGTGTGTGTGTGTGTGTGTGTGTGTGTGTGTGTCTCCACATGCCTGTGCTCCAGGACCAGGAGAAGACAGGAAAGGAGGCTGTTGAGTACAGCAGAAGCCTAATTTCTATCTTCACCTCATCAGGTTTATAAATTTCCCCTTTGTTTTTTTCGTTCTCTCTCCTCTCCTCTCTTCCTCCCTCATACCATTGTAAGCTCTTCTCTGTAATCTTCTATCCTCCTTCCTCCTGAGAAGGCCCTGCTATAGTTCCTCCTCTCACTCACAAGGTACCTCTCCCTAGCACAAACTGCCAGCTCTGAGTTCCCAGGGCAGTAGAAGGGGCAGTGAGAGACGGTGTTGCCTAGTGGTTAAGCCAACAACCGTGGGGCAGTGTCCTTGGAGTTTAATCATGGGTCTACCTCATTTCCGTCACCTGGAAAAGAGAATTTAACTCAAAGCTCAGCCACAAGGTTTAAGTAAGATCATGAATATCAAGTATTTAGCAGAATTTCTTTACCCACTGTAACTTTATTAGATATTATTGTGTTTGGCCATAAGATACACCTACTAAAATGTACCTACATCACTGAGTTTTTCAGTCATTGGTGTAGGTACAGTGAGAGTACGCCAGCTTGGCAGAGGGAGATCCTCACTGCCTGAGTTTATGCACCTTACTCTTGTTTTTTTCTCAGTTGGCTGCTTCTTGATCTTTCCTAGGGGACACCTTAAAGTCTAGTATGGCTCAAGGAGGAAAGAGGGATATTGGAAAGAAAATAAAGAGAGGGCAATCATATTTAGAATTCTCACTGCATGCCAGATGCTGTGCTGGGAGTTTCACATTTACTATCTCTGCTAATCCTCAAAACATTCCTGTGGCTGGGTACCACTTTTCCCTCTGGACAGATGGAGCAACTGAGGTTCACAGAAATGAAGGGACGTGCCCCAGGTCACCCAGCCTATCAGTGGTATTTGGACAATTAACATCTTCCAGGCTCCAGAGACCCATGTGGTTTCTGAAACTTTCCATGAACAGGGCAAAAACCCAGGCAGCCACAGAGTCTGGGGGTGGTTACCAGGTCACAGAAGAAAGCTGTAGGAGATGTCTTGGATGAGAGAAAAATACAGAGAGGGGAAGAAAAAAAAACCCTTGCTGAGTTTCTGTGGGTTTCAGAATGTAATAATCCCTATGGGTTGGAGACGGGAAAAGATGAGGAAGTGGGCTCCCCAGAGCCTGAAAATTGTTTCCTGAATTCTCTGGGTAGGCATGGTCAGCTGAAGAGGGCAAAAATGGAAGCCAAAAAATACACAGAGAAAAGCCAAATGAAACTGGGTTTTGAGGGGAGGTATTTGGGGAGGCAGAAACTTCCCCTGGGCATCACTTTCCTCACCGGTAGACCCAGTGTCTGCTAGGTGTTTGCTTTGGTGATGGGCCTGAGGTTGTTCTCTTGGCTTTGGACCTCCTTCCAGTTCTAGGAATGGGTTTGTCCAGGTCAGTGTTTGTGTGAACGTTATTTCCAGGATTCCAGACTGTGCTTGGCTTTGCTGCCTACTCCTGGGACCCCGAAAAATCACATGACAAGAATGTTCATGGAAACCTTGGTTTTGTCCTCTGTAAACATGGCTACAACCACATCTTCTCAGGGGTTTCTATAGGAGGATTAAGTCTTATAAATTGCAAAGAACTATACAGTTGTCAAGTCTTGGTATTATTTAATAAAAGAAATTAGCAAAGATTTAAGAAAATGCAAAAAATTAAAAATAAAAGGGGGACATATTCCACTCTAGGAAACCATTCTCTCTTGATTCCTTGGAAGTCAGCTATGGTGCTATCACTCCCCTTGAATTAGACCAAATGACTCTTCTACAACCCTGAGCCCTGTATCTGATGTGAAACAACAATTAGTCCTAGTAAGTCACAACTTAACTACAGATCACCACATTCTCCATCCTAAAGGCTTGGCTCAGACACAAACTCTAGGCACTGAGTTTTCCTAAATAAGGAATTCAAAAAGAACCATTGAAGGACCAGATAGTTAACTGTTTCCGGGCTTCTCTCATCTTTTCTTCTTGACAGCCATGGGCTCCCCAAAGCAAGTCATTTTCTCAGACATCACTGAAAACTCAGCTACTGTCAGCTGGAGGGCACCCACTGCCCAGGTGGAGAGCTTCCGAATTACCTATGTGCCCATTACAGGAGGTAAGAGACTTGGAAGGGGGGTGAGGGAGAGGAGGAGTGTTGCGGGCTTGGATGGATTCCTGAAAGAGACTCTGACAATTTTCATCCCCCCAAACAACATGGCCAAAGAAAATGAATTCTTTATTTTTGAGACTATCTGGAGAGAAGAGACCTCGTTCGTAAAGTGCCATGAGACTCTTAGAAGAAACTATCATGTGAAAGGTCATTTGAATAAGACCTTTTTAGCCTTGAAATTATAAAATTCTATGAGAAATAGATCTCCAGTATTGTTTGCTCACCATGACAAAAGATTCTAAATGTATTGGCATTTCTCTCTCTGAGCACACTCATCTGAAAAGCTAGTCTTGGATGTTTGCGAAGTTTTGCCTTTGGGTACCAAATCTGTCTGTTTCAGTAAACAATGGCAAGTTGTGCCTTAGAAAATTGGTGAGTTCTAATTCAAAGCACATGGGCTATAATAGAGAGCACAGGGTGGAAGCCCAGTCAAATCTGCCTAAAGACATTCTGGCAGGTAGTAAGCTACCTGTTGCTGGAAGTGTGTGAAGAGAGGATGGTTAATAACCTCTTCACAGGAATGCTGTTGCAACTGTATGGCAAGTCTGACCAGCTAATGTGCAAGTTCTTCACTAGCCCCCAAATTCTAAGAAATATAATTTCTGTGTTTTTTAATAAATACAACAGCACAAAACTTGACTCTGGCCAGCTTTCTTAAGTAGAACTTTCACTAGTAAGGGAGTCTCTATAATCCTAAGCCAAGACAATGGGGGAAATAGATCAGATATATATTACATAGTAAGCTTCCCATATTCTTTGTGGGGAAAAATAATGAAATAAAACTTACACAACATGCCAGCTCTCTAATGAATGGAAACTTGCCATTTTTAGTACATTGTGACTTCATGTTTTGTTGTTTTTTTTTTTCTTTTTCTCTCTCTCTCTCCTGGCTTCATTTTTGGCATCTGCACCAATGGAAAAAGCATTATACAAAATGTAAGGCTTATTCCCTTATGCCAGAGGGTAGGAGCAAATGACAAGTCAAGAAAGTGGCGTTGGATGAAAATATACTTTCATTTCTAAATCAGATCCACCCTTTTTGGGGGCAACAGTGAATAAGTGTCAATGAGGTTCATTATTCCTGGTCTTGCTTTTACTGTGTTCTAGGTAAGCCTTCCATGGTAACTGTGGATGGAACCAAGACTCAGACCAGGCTAGTGAAACTCATACCTGGGGTGGAGTACCTTGTTAACATCATTGCCATGAAGGGCTTTGAGGAAAGTGAACCTGTCTCAGGGTCGTTTACCACAGGTGAGTTGGTGTGTGCGTGTGTGTGTGTGTGTATGTGTGTGTATTTTTCAAAGATCACTTGTACATCTTATGTCATTTCTCACCTTCAGCCCTGTAGCTCATGACTCAGCAGCTAGAAATAAAAGGGTTTCGTTCATGAGACCCCAGCCTCTGGTGAGCTGGGTAACCTTAACTTCGTTGGGCCTCTATTTCCTGGACTATGGCGAAAGAAAAGGTCCAAGTTTGGCAGTCATAATTACCTGAATTAAAATCCAAATTCTACCAGCTACATGAGCTACCAGTCCATTTTTCTGGGGTCTACTTTCAGGCACAATTCTGCTTCCCTCACAGGGTATAACTCACATGAAATTGTATTTGTAAAGCATCTGTATTAGCCTACCACCTCCCTCCCCTCCCCGCCTATTGCCTGGAACCCTTATGAGGGTCCCTCAAAGCAGGTGCTTCACATAAGCATGTAATGGTGACAGCAACAAAACCAACTCCTCTCTATTTGGTGGCTTCTGCATTCCAGGCACTGTTACTAAACCCTTCTCATGTAATTCTCACAGCTATCATCTTTCCCATTTTTCAGAGGAGACAACTGAGACTTGGGGAAGTGAAATACCTTGGCCAAGCCCACATAATTAGTAAATGCTGGAACAAATTTGAACATATGTCGGTCTGACTCCAAACTCTCTATCCTTCTAAAAGAAAGGGTTCCTTTCCTAGTATAACCTGATTGGTAGAGTACCCTGTAAAGAGGGGGAAATAATGAATTGCATTGAAGGAGAATGAAGTGGAAAATTTCTCTTTGGACAGCCATGTCTCTAAACAATTTATCCTTTGATATATGAGCAATTATCCAGTCCAACTCATTAAGGGATACAAAGAATGGGCCTCATAGGAAATTTTAAAAATATCCTCATAGCCAAAAAGAGTTGACAACACACAATTAAAACATCCCATCTGAACCCAGAGTCCCATCCACCCTTCCTCACAGGCCCTTATTTCCCCAAAGGAATCTTTCATCAATGGATTATCCATGGCAACAGATCGCAAAAGTTGGACGTGGTCCCTCCCAATGCCCCATTGTCATCACCAGTTAAAGGAGATTCTGTCCATGCACAGTGAAGCAGGAAGAAACTCGGAGTGGACAATGTGGGCTCCACAGTTGCCCTGCCACATCCTGGCTCTCAGGCCGGTCATTTTATCCCTCGAGGCTCAGGTGCCTCTCTGTGAAATGAGCTAAGGATAGCTTCCCTCCACCCCGGCCAGGACTGTCATGGGAGTAATTGAGCAGTAAGTGAAAAGGCAAGAGGAAATGGTTAGATTCAGGTTAGCTTCTAAGAAAGTGATGTTGGGGAGTGGGAGAGGTCAGTTGAAAAAGGCCAGGGATAAACACTCTTTGAATAGCCATCCTTTCTCAGAAAAAGTCATTTGAAAAGCATACTTAAGACTTCAAATATCTTTAATAGAGATCTTAATAACAAATGCAATTATTGAGAGCTTTCTCTAGTACACTTTACATATGTTTCTTAGCTAGTCTTTATTAATTAAACAGTCACCCTTTGGCAACTAAAGAAAGTGAGGTTTGGAGAAGGGAAATGGATTTCCCCAGGGCGCAGAGGCACCAGGCCAAGAAGCCATGGTAGAACCCAGGACCACCAGCCTCCAGAGCCTGGCTTTATATTCTCTGCAAGCCGCCTAATGAGAGATACCATTCAAAGCTCAGAAAAGGCTTTGAAGCCAGGCACAGTGGCTCATGCCTGTGATCCCAGCACTTTGGGATGCCAAGGCAGGCAGATCACCTGAGGCCAGGTGTTTGAGACCAGCCTGGCCAACATGGTAAAACCCCGTCTCTACTAAAAATACAAAAATTAGCTGGGTGCCGTGGTGTGTGCCTATAATCCCAGCTACTTGGGAGGCTGAAACAGGAGAATCACTTGAACCCAGGAGGGAGAATTCGCAGTGAGCTGAGATCACACCACCACATTCCAGCCTGGGTAACAGAGTGAGAACTTTCAAAAAAAAAAAAAAGGAGAGGAGAGGAAAGGAGAGGTGAAAAATATGACTTGGGCAGTCTTAACTATGCAAGTCCCTTCTGTTTGTGTACGTTCTTTCCCTGGGGAAAGTGATATAAACTATAATTCTTGTCATGTGTTCAGCCCTGTTCAGTTTACACAGCTCCTTTCCACCCATAATATAATGGGAAAATCAAAATAACACTGAGGATGAAGCCAGCCAGAATTACTAGCCCTATTTTACACGTGAGGAAATAGAGGCCCAAAGTAACTGAGCCAGCAAGGGAGTCATTACTCAAAGCCAGGTCAGCCTGGCTGCAGGCTCAGGTCTCTGAACCATTCCATGCAGCTGACACTATGTCCTAACACCAGAACTCCATAAGCAGTGTGGAAAGCAGAGCATCTGGGATCTGATGTCCCACCCAATGACTTCCCTCCTGTTCACCATCTTTCTTTGCAGCTCTGGATGGCCCATCTGGCCTGGTGACAGCCAACATCACTGACTCGGAAGCCTTGGCCAGATGGCAGCCGGCCATTGCCACTGTGGACAGTTATGTCATCTCCTACACAGGGGAGAAAGGTAAGGTTTTGTCCAAGTCTTTTGTCCACTCACTCTAAGGAGTGTCTTTCCTGCTGTAAACACTTCCCATTCTCTCTTCTCCATGCCACATTTGGTACAGAATGGTAAAAACGCACGGGTAAGTTGAAAAGGCCAGTCATGTTCTCGGGGCTCCCAACTGCAACCTCAAGGGAGTCCAGTAGGACATTTAAAATAAAAATAATAGATATATCTCCAGCCTCTACATGTTTTCCTGGCTTGTTCCTCCTTTCCTCATAGCCTCTCTTCCTACCAGCATAAGACACCCTGTTTAGGAAGCAGCTGTCATCTTTTACAAAGAAGAAATACAGAATCTAAAATCTTAACCAGACAGCTTCAGGCTGTACTTAGGAGTCTTAGCTTTTCAGAGACAACAGGAAAGGCTAGTTTTAGCAAATTTGATTAAAAAGTGAAAAATTTAAGCCGGGCGCGGTGGCTCATGCCTGTAATCCCAGCACTTTGGGAGGCCAATGCGGGTGGATCACGAGGTCAAGAGACCGAGACCATCCTGGTCAACATGGTGAAACCCTGTCTCTACTAGAAATACAAAACATTAGCTGGGCATGGTGGCGCGTGCCTGTAATCCCAGCTACTCAGGAGGCTAAGGCAGGAGAATTGCCTGAACTCAGGAGGCGGAGGTTGCGGTGAGCCGAGATCGCGCCATTGCACTCCAGCCTGGGTAACAAGAGCGAAACTCTGTCTCAAAAAAAAAAAGTGAAAAATTTTAGGCCAGGTGCAGTGACTCACATCTGTAATCCAGCGCTTTGGAAGGCCGAGGCAGGCAGATCACTTGAGGCCAGGAGTTTAAGACCAGCCTGGCCAACATGCTGAAACCCCATCTCTTCAAAAACTATAAAAATTAGCTGGGCATGGTGGTGTACCCCTGGAGTCCCAACTACTCAGGAAGCAGAGGCAGGAGAACTGCTTAAACCTGGGAGGCAGAGGCTACAGTGAGCCAAGATTGTATCACTCTACTCCAGCCTGGGTGACAGGGAGATTCTGTCTCAGGGAAAAAAAAAAAAAAATCAGAAACATTTTCTTGTTTGGCAACCACTAGTGCTAACTTACTCAGTTGGCCGATTAAACACTTGCTTAGAGCACCAGCAAACTACAGCCATCAGAAAGTAAAATCAAATACAAGTATGAAACAGGAGAAAGAGAGTCCTTTTCAATGAACTTCTCCATCATTTTGTAATGAACTACTCTAGAAAGAATTGTGTAATTTTAATTTCCAGGTATAGGTAAGTTTTATATTTTATGGTTTGGTGTTTTGCTCTCAGTGAAAATATGGGCAGGCACCAGCATCTGTGTTTGGGGCCTCTGAAAATTTTAACTTAGCCCTGGTAAACATCTAGGAAATGTCTTTTTGAGGACAGAGTACAGATAAGGGTGGGGGAGAGGCAGGGAGGAGGGATGTTGGATTTATTCTTTTTACTCTTTGATTCTTAAATAGTCCCTGTGAGCAACACTGAGTCAGGGAAGATGGTGTTGCACCTAAAATAAATCAGGGTATAGTTCATGGGAACAATGGAGATCGTGGATTCAGGGCAAACAAGGGGCTTTGTTCAGAAGAGAAGGGGTGCTCAACAATAATGAGGTAAGGTGACCAACTTGTGCCCCCTTGCCTGGTACTGTCTCAGTTTTAGCACCAGAAGTTCCACACCTAGGAAACCCCTCAGTCCCTGGCAAACCAGGATGGCTGGTCACCTGTGAATAGGAAATAAACACATGGCCCTGGGCACTGTGGTCAGTATCACTTTCTGCCAGTAGGCATGACCCAGCAGTCCTGAAAGACAGTGGACAGGCTCTGGTACAGCCATCACTGTCCAATTTTTGTGACCCTTCAGCCTAATGACTTGATGACATTTAGTAAATTTAAAAAGGGCATGTGAATAACTGACAAAGAGAGGAGAGCATGCATCGGGACAAATTAAGCATGGGCAGCACAAGGCTTGGGATGTCCCCTCCAACTGTCCTGTACCTCGGTCTCAGTGGCAAAGCTATTCCAGCTGGCATTATGCGGAAAAAAAATCTCCTGACCCCCAGTTTCCCTTCCTTCTCATTTGGTGCCTGGAAAAATTCAATCTCCATATGAAACATCCTTTACATGTGGGGTGAGTGCTCAAGAGAAAGAGAGCGTGAGTCATTTCAGCAATCAGACCTGCTTTTCTACAGGGTCACTGAAAGTTTCTATGTTTGAAGGAGGTGTGTATGAGGTTTGCCAAACCCACTCGTGGCTGAGACAGTGAGAGGTAACTGCCTCGGTATGTGTATTCCATGTTTAGTGCCAGAAATTACACGCACGGTGTCCGGGAACACAGTGGAGTATGCTCTGACCGACCTAGAGCCTGCCACGGAATACACACTGAGAATCTTTGCAGAGAAAGGTCCCCAGAGGAGCTCAACCATCACTGCCAAGTTCACAACAGGTACAAAGGCACTGAGAGCTGGAAGCTCTCCCTTCTGAGACGCCCACCCACAGCCTGCATTCTAAACGGGAACCCCTAGCCAGTTCTTCTTTCTTAAGTCAGGGCCTTGCAATGTGATTACATCAGCAGCAAAATTCACCAGTGCCCACTCAGTCAAGGCCTGAAGAAACACACCATTTCCTTTTGAACTGAAATGACCTTGGTCTCCCCATGGGCAAGGAAAAAATTTTAAGAGGAGGGCTTTGTAAGTGGAAAAACAGTTCCCACTGGCCCTAAACCTAGCATTTAATGATCCATGTTCCAGGCAGGAAAATATTTTTGAAGAGGTAGATTTTTTAGGCAGTTTTTTTCTAGATGTTTGTTAGGTTTCTATACATTGAGATTTTTTTTACAAACTATTGCAAGCAGGGAAACAGAGGAACCATCTTCTCTGTCGGGGTGAGTACCAATGTTAGCCTTCATCTGTCCTCTTATTTAGAAACAATGGGCTTCATAATGATGTTCACAGCTGTATATTTCTCCCTAAATACAGCCAAGGCCAGTTAGGAACACCCAGCCCTTGGGACGAGATAAACCACAGAGAATTTGTCTTTGGGGGTCATCTGGCTCAACCACCTTATTTATAAACAGATAAGTTTCTTGCCAAAGATCACGTAGTTCAGTGGTAGGGAAAGGACTTGAACCCAGTCTTCTTGATGCCCAGTACAGATTTCTGTCCTACACTTGCTGACTTTATCTGATATTAATCATCCTATCTTCTCCAGACCTCGATTCTCCAAGAGACTTGACTGCTACTGAGGTTCAGTCGGAAACTGCCCTCCTTACCTGGCGACCCCCTCGGGCATCGGTCACCGGTTACCTGCTGGTCTATGAATCGGTGGATGGCACAGTCAAGGTATTTCAAGTATATAACAACTTCTCACTACTAGTTGAAGCATTTTCATGATCCTCAAAGTGTGGAAGAATGACCTGATGCTGTTTTTCTACCCCAATGCAACTGGGGAGCTGAAAAAAAAAAAAATTAGTAGAGACTGGACGGCATGCCAGATCTTCTGAATCATACTCTCCAGCCTCTCTCATTTTAACCAGGCTCCGGTTCTGATAGCCGGCCAAGATCAAGAACCACTGCTTACAAGACGTGAGGACATTTTAGGAGCTGGAATCTTGATCCTTTAATATTTTGTTGAACAAAGACCAAAAGTTTCTTCTGCATGTTTGCCATATGTATTATCTCACAGATGGTATCATTATATTATGTATTGCAATTTGTTTCACCATGTTCTTATGACATCAGCTGTTAATACTGTTTTTATCCAGTGTTTATAGTATTTATATTCTCTATCCAATAACTTTCTTTCTTTTACCTTTTAATTTGAAATAACTTTAGACCTTCAGACAAGTGAGAGAGATTTCCTAAACTCTACCTTCCAAACCTGTTATTGAATTTTTCATTTTGGTTGTCTTACTTTAAATTTCCAAGATCTTTTGCTTATTCTCTGCATAGTCATCTTTTCCTAGCACCTTGTGTTTCATGTATCGTCATCTCTTTAAGAATATATGTTGCTGGTGTTTTATTCTACATCCTGCACAGTGTTTGTTTCAAGTTTCTTTGTTTTGCTGCTGCTATTGGGTTGGGTTTGGTTTGGGTCTCTGCCTCTCACGTTGGAGATATCCACCCACTGTCTATTAGTCACGGTCTGTCTTTTTGTATTTGAACTAGGAATGAAAGAGCTCATTGGAAGTTCCAACTGCACAGGCAGGCTTGTCAACTCTGTGGCTCCCTACAGAATGATCGGGCAAATACCCAACAGTTTTCTTGGGGGACCCCCAAATAACAGTGCCTTAAATCCTGGGCTCTCATTATGTACAAACCTTCATCTTACTATGTTTCCAGTGTAACACCTCGGCCTCCTTGAAAACTGAGCCTGGTGGATTTGAACCCAAAGCCTCCTCTCTGGCTCATCCTCCCCAGAGAATAAACCTCAGCCACACTCTGGATGGAAAAGGGCAGTCATTTAGACTGTTGAAGGGAATGGGGAGATTTCAGGGTCTGTTTCTCACAAAAAAAGCTTCTAAACAAATCAAACCTTTGTTCAGCCACATTCCACATTGGCTTTCAGAGACATCTCTGCTTTTGTACACATTCCCTTCCTGAACTTGCTGGACTCCGTGGCTTGCACTTAACAGCCTCTGACTGGCTCTGCCCATGCTCCTTAGTTAACCTCAGCTTTCTTTATTCATTCCCCTCCACAGTCTCTCTACCACTCACTTTCCATCTTCTTTTGACATGGCATGCCTGTTGCTGTCTCCTCTCTCATTCCCCTCATCTTTGTGGGTTTATACCTTACATTCTCTTGCTCTCTTTTTAGTGGATTTCAGAAACAAGTAGAGATAAGTGGCTATATCCAGTCTTTCATTTAGCCAGAACTGGACACATTGCTAATTACTATCATACCCCTTCCTGGAGTTGATACAACAATGAACTATCTCACTGTGTGAGGTAAAGCAAATCCATTTTCTTCCCTGGGTGTCAGTGTTCCCATATGTAAAATGAATGCCTTGGTCTTATCTTTAAGGTCTTCTCCTGGTCAGGCATTCTAGGATTCTGTGTTTACCTGAATTGCGAGTCTCATTTTCACCTAGGGTACCCTAATTGCCTAGAAAATGACTTTTCATAAACTCCTAGAGAGCTGAAAGGTAATTGTATTCCTAAGTAATTCAATGAGCCCAGCTTTATCCCTGACAGTTAATCTTTCCCCCAGGGACTAGAACCAGGGCGGCACAAAGGCCACTGGGTATTAAATGAACACTCACCCCAGTTTATTTTTCTGCATGTCTGTTCACCAGCTTTATACGTCTTAGTTAAAAAAAAAAAAAAAAGAAATCAACCTAGTATAGGAGAAAAGGGTCCTAGTCAGGGTGTTGGGAAGCCAGGAGGTAAGATCATCCTCTGCCTCCAACAATTAATGAAATGAGAGCAAGTCTTTTAGCTTCTCTGAAACTCATTCTCCAATTGAAAAAAAATGAGGATGAGGTACCTTCCTAGTTCCCAGGATGCAGGAGAAGCTTCCAGGAGTCTCTGCACTGACACATGACTGCCCAAACTCAGCTGGGTATTTGCAGATTGTAGAGAACAGCATTGTATTTTGTTTACTAGGTATGTAGGTTGAATTCCAATCCCAGACACCAAGGTCATTTGCTGAAAAGAACTGGAAGCTAGCAAGAGGACCTCCTGCAAACTGAAACCCATCACCTTTGTACGGCAGCACAGAGACCAGCCACAGACTACAGGCATAGTTAGAGTTGGTCAACATGTGTCTCTCATGGATATCTCTGTTCTAGAAGAGAGGCATGTGAGGTCAGCTTAAGTTTTCGTCATACCATGCCTGTGGGGCTATTATAATCATTTCCTAACTCAAGAGATCCCTAGACTGACTGAACATCCAAATCACTTGGGAAGTTTCTTAAATATAGCCAGGCTCAACTTCTGGCTCTGATGATTCAGTCTGTCTGAGATGAGGCCCAGGCGTCCTATTGTTTAAAGCTTCCCAGAGTGATAAAGAGCTGTATTTAGGGACCACGGACCTAACTGACCTTTAAGTCCCTTACTCTGTGTGATTCATCTTGCCACCAGATTAAGTTTCTTAAAGAACAGCTGGGTTTATGTCATTCGCATGTCCAAACATCTTTCAAGGCTCCCCCTTCCTTATAATGATAAACTTCAAGTTCCAAAGCTTAGCATTTAAACCTTACAGAGATCCTCATGCCCTATAATGATAAACTTTAAGTTTCAAAGCTTGTCATTTAAAGGCTCTTTATAATCTAGAAACATTTTCCACTGTTCTGGTACCTGAAGCTAAGTATGCTTGAAGTAGTTTATTGCTCTCTCATGTTATTTCATTTTATTTTTTAAATCTGCTTTACTCAAACTTACTGATTTAAATATTAATCTCATCTAGAAAAAAAAAAAAACTACCTTCACAGAAACATTTAGAAAAATATTTGACCAAATATCTGGGCCCCATGGCTCAGCCAATTTAACACATAAAATTAATCATTATAATCCCATTCTCCCAATATAGTTTGGCAGGGCCTTGGGCAGGTGGGTAGCCTCAGCTCTGGAGTCTACAGCAGGGTTCTCACTCTCAGATGCAGTCTCTGCCTCCTCATATTATTTTAACTTGCTCTGTCTGCATTTCTGGCCCCAGGAGTCTTGCTTATGCTGCACCCTCCTCATCTCTGATATCTCAGCAGGCCACATGGACCCTGGCACAGAGTGGATACTCAATGAATTCTTGTTGAGTAAATAAATGAATGGATGGGTAAATGAATGAATAAATAGAATGACTTCTTATCTATACCCTTAGAATTTCTGTGACCAAAAGCCATTATGCTCTTTCTTCTGCTCTTAGGAAGTCATTGTGGGTCCAGACACCACCTCCTACAGCCTGGCAGACCTGAGCCCATCCACCCACTACACAGCCAAGATCCAGGCACTCAGCGGGCCGCTGAGGAGCAATCTGATCCAGACCATCTTCACCACAAGTAAGGAGGCCCAGGGTGCAATCTGGCCTTGAGATCTAACCTTGAATCAACCCTTGACTTCCCCCTTTGACTTTAACATTTTCAAACAAACCTCTGAAAAGAATCAATTCACTGCTACTACTTGGAAGCCTGAGGAAGGCAAGTGTGGGAGGTTATGAGCATCCTGGTGAAAGGAAAGGAGGGAGCCCGCCTGGATTCAATCCCCATTTCTATCACTTGCTATGTATGCCTTAAGAACGCTACGTCCATCCTATAATCTTTAGCTTCTTCATCTATACAGGGAGATTAGTAATAATCCCTCCCTCAACAGAGTCTTGCAAGGGTTCGTGACGTATTACATTTGAACTCCTAGCCCAGTATGTGGCCCATATAAATGTGTGGTCCTTTTATTGTCAGAGTTTAAGATAAGCTCAAAGTCTCTTCCTTTCTCCTTCATCATGCCAGTGTTTACAAAGCCTGTCCACATTCAGAATCACAAATGGTCCTCCCACCAAGCTGGTATGATGGGCCGAATGCCCAATGTCCTAGTAGGGAAGCAGAGGCTTTCAAAGATGAAATGACCTGTTCAAGACTATCTATCTTGTGAGTTACAATCAGAGTTGGGCTCAGATATTCCACACCCAAGGAGCCTCCCCCTGCACCTGCCACAGAGTTTTCTGCATATGGCAAAACTGCAAGTTGTTCCATTGGTAAATAAAAGTGGCATTCATTCCTGAGAATGGGAGGAGCTGGTCTTTGGAGAGCCCTGTTTCACAATTCACGCAACAGTCATTCTGCAAACATCTGCCAAAGAAGGTGCTTCCCCTTGGCCAGATCTTATGCCAAATGCTAATGATAAATGTGTCCTAAAGATGCTCTTATACAACGGCTGTGAAATAAATAAGAAAACAGCTTATGATACAACCTCAGATGAATGTCCTTGGATTAGAAAAAAAGAACTGCTATGACCATCAGCTCTTAGGTCCATCTACCAGGCATAGTTCCAAGACTGCTTATTTCTATGAGTTTTTAATTGTTTGCATCATATTACTGCACTTGGAAATTATCCAGGCATTCTAGTCAATAGAGCTAAGCTGACACTTAAGCTCCAGCTCAGTCCTTCTGCTCTGTGAGCATCACCATTTCTCCTTATTCCACAGTTGGACTCCTGTACCCCTTCCCCAGGGACTGCTCCCAAGCCATGCTGAATGGAGACACGACCTCTGGCCTCTACACCATTTATCTGAATGGTGATAAGGCCCAGGCACTGGAAGTCTTCTGTGACATGACCTCCGATGGGGGTGGATGGATTGTGAGTACCACCAGGGACTGCAGAGCTCTCAGGCCTAGGGGAGGAGGGACAGGGCACAGCAGGGGAGGAGAAGAGGGTAATTTCCTCCTCCTGGTGCATCCTGACACCCACATGTGTGAGGCCTTGCAAGATACTGCCTGTCACACAGAGGTACTTGGGAATTCTGTCTTAAAAGAACGGGAAACAAGCCGGGTACCTTTTGAAACGGGGAAATAAGTTTCTTGTAGTTTATCTCATTCAATCTTCATCAAACAACTCCGTGATGTATAAATGACAGGGATCATTGAACCCATTGCTTATATTAATTAGCACTGAACTAAGGATTTATTATCTACCAGACACTGTGCTAAGAGTTTTAGATGAATTATTCCAACCCCATTACCATAGGAGCTGCATAGGATATTTTTTAATTAATAAACTTTATTTTTTAAGAACAGTTTTAGGTCCATGGCACAATTAAGTGAACAGAAAGTTCTCATATATACCCGACACCCACCCACACAATCTCCCCATTATCAACATCCGGCACCATAGTGGTTCATTTGTTACAATCAATGAACCTACATTGACACGTCATCTTACGCAAAACTGGATGGTATTTTTAATCCCTATTTTTCAGATGAGAACACCAAGGCTTAGGGAAGAGAAGTGACCACCCAAAGTCACATGGCAAATTCGGGATGGACAGAGCCAGGGCCTGGAGCTCTGTCCACAGTGCAAGGTTTCTTCCTCTCAGAACAATGCCCTCTCTTTCCTGCAATAGCTTAAGTACACCCAGATTCATCGATATGTTTATAGGTGTTCCTGAGACGCAAAAATGGACGTGAGAACTTCTACCAAAACTGGAAGGCCTATGCTGCTGGATTTGGGGACCGCAGAGAAGAATTCTGGCTTGGTAATTAATGCAGCTCTGCATGTTTGTATCTCGAATACCCTCCTTGTCATTTTTTCGAACCCACAGTGACTGACTGAGAGGGGAGAAAGAGATGAAGAAGCAGCACTAGTTCTGGTGGCAGACACAGAATATCAAATTCTTAATGAAAAAGACTATTATTTAAATGCTCTGAAACATTAAAATGTAAACCAAAAGTATCTGAGATAGATCTCAATCAATTTAGAGGTTTACTTAGCCAAGGTTAAGGACATGCCCAGAAGAAAAGGAACACAAAGCCACAAGAGCAACCTGTGGTCCATGCCTTTTTTTCTTTTCTTTTCAAAGATGATGTTGAGAGGTTTAGTATTTAAAGGAGAAAAGTGGGCTGGTGGGGAAAGTGGAAGGATATGATCACATTACCGAATCCACATGTTGCAAGATTTTAAAAAAAAGAATGACAAAAAAAGAGAATGGTCAATTATGTATTCATCTCACACTCAGCAAATCATGCATGTAAAGTACTCAGCACTTTACATAAGATAAAGAGAGAATAACTACTTGTGGAGGTATCTGGGCTTTTATCTGTAGCATCTGCTTAGGGACAAAAGGAGAGGCAGTTTCTTGCATGACTCAGCTTTCAGTTTAATTTTTTCCTTTTGGCATAAATTGGGGTCCCGATATTTTATTTCCATTCACAAAATGTAAAAATCTGATTAAGGAAGAGCCTCAATTCAGCCCTTACAAGTTAACATAGCCTTAAGTCATTTGCTGGACCAGTTATAGCAGGCTTCTCGCTGATATCACTGACAGCTTCCCTCCTGTGCCCCAGGTTGTGCTCCAGGTGCTAAGATGAGTTTCTTACAGCCATAACCTTTAACCTTGATAGCACCCCTGCAAAGTACTCAATTACCACCTGCTGGGCAAGGTGTCAGGTGTCAGAAGTGGTTGACTTGTAGGTTGTTAAGAATTTCCCAACAACAGTATAGGTTTGAAAAAGGAAAAGTTTATTAGAAAGAAAGAATGCCTCCAAAGGACTAAGAGCTCTGCAGTGGATTTTTCCTGATGGGTATTTATGGACCTTAAAGCAGGAGCTTATGGGTAATTTGGACCATATTAGCCATGTAGATCATAATAAGTGATTACATTTGTAGACATTTCTGTGCCTTAATGTCAGCAAGGGTTGCAAAATGACTTTTGATATGCATATATTCCAGAGATGTATAGAAATTCTAGTTACTTATATACTTTTGGGAAAGAAACCTGGAACCCCAGATGCTTGCTTGAGATAATAGGGAAGTCTAATTAACTCTAAACCTCTCAGATAAGGAGTTTTTGTCTCCGGGACTTACTTGATGGTCAGCAGGTGATTTTTGCTCTCCTCACCACTTTGCATGGATAAAATCACAGCCTCAAAGAGGTTGAGTGGTTTGCCCATAGGAGTCTAACCAATGAACAGTTGAGCTGAAATTTGGAATTTCCTAAGTCAACTCTACATTTCTTTCACCCATCCATTCTCCATGCAACCTACACTTTCCAACCACCTACCTGCAGGGAACATTGTTCTATGCACCACTGCCTACGCCAGGAAATGTTTATCATATTATCATCCATTGTCCTTCATTTGTAAGGTACTTTATTTTGTTTGTTTATTTATTAGAGTCTCACTCTGTCACCCAGGCTGAAGTGCAGTGGTACAGTCTCGGCTCACTGCAACTTCTGCCTTCTGGGTTCAAGCGATTCTCCTGCCTCAGCCTCCCAAGCAGCTGAGATTACAGGCACCCACCACCATGTCTGCCTCATTTTTGTTTTTTCGGTAGAGACGTGGTTTCACCATGTTGGCCAGGCTGGTCTCGAACTCCTGACCTCAGGTGATTCACCCACCGTGGCCTCCCCAAGTGCTGGGAGTACGGGTGTGAGCCACCGAGCCTGGCCTGTAAGACACTTTAGAGTTTAAACTGTACTTTCAACACATTATCTCCTTGGATCTTCACTAAGGCACTGGGAGGTTGGAAGTGGGGCAAAAATGTCAACCCAATTTTACCTGAGACTCAAAAACATCACATATTTGGTCCAGTGTTATACCAGCAAGCAGAAGAGTGAGTTTTCAGCCCATGCTTTGTGTGATATGGCCTTTTTTTTTTTTCTTTCCTGAGAGTCTTGCTCTGTCACCCAGGCTGGAGTGCAGTGGCACAATCTTGGCTCACTGCAACCTCCGCCTCTCGGGTTCAAGCAATTCTCCTGCCTCAGCCTCCCAAGTAGCTGGGACTATAGGCGCTCACCACCACACCCAGCTAATTTTTGTATTTTTAGTAGAGACGGGGTTTCGCCATGTTGGCCAGGCTGGTCACAAACTCCTGACCTCAAATAATTTGCACCCCTGCTTCCCCATGCCTCAGTGTCCCAAAGTGCTGATATTATAGGTATGAGCCACTGCGCCCAGCTGGTCCTCTTTTAAGTGTACCCAGCTGCTGCTTTTACAGAGTGAAATAGAAATAAGGGCCTCAGCCACCTGTGCTTCTTAGCAACCTTTGCCTGTCATCCACAGGGCTGGACAACCTGAACAAAATCACAGCCCAAGGGCAGTACGAGCTCCGGGTGGACCTGCGGGACAACGGGGAGACAGCCTTCGCCGTCTATGACAAGTTCAGCGTGGGAGATGCCAAGACTCGTTACAAGCTGAAGGTGGAGGGGTACAGCGGGACAGCAGGTACGGCAGCAGCCGCACTTAGAGCCCACAAAGCCATGGAGGCCTTCTTGGCATTTACAGCTAATTTCTCCATTCATCATTCTTTCATTCCTTCCTCACTAATTAAATCAACATTTATTAAATCAATGTTATTAGGCCATTTATTAAATCAACAAATATTTAACTACCTACAGGGGCCCATCCAAAAAAAACTGTGATTCAAAACGGTTGGATAGATATTTGGATCCTGAAACTGACTAGATTGGGAATCAGGGCAATCAGGATTGATTTCATCTTTCAAAAAAAAAAAAAAAGTGTCTTTCTTACCCAGTTTTAGATATCCGTTGTAGACTGATTAAAAAAAAAAAAAAAGTCTCCCAAAGGCCTTAATATTCTTCCAGTCCAGCACTTCTCAGTTTGTTCAGGGCATATGCACCCACTGGCAATCTTGTGAACGTGCAGATGCTGATGCAGGTTGTCTGGGATGGGACCGAGATTCTGCATCTTCTCCAAGTTCCCTGGTGATGCCGATATGGCTGGTGTTGCTGGTCTGTGGAGCACACTTCGAGTAACAAACTGTCTACCACATCACCTAACTGCTTGAATCCTTTCCAAGACATCCCTGGTCATCTAGCCTCAGCCTGCATCCCCATGAACAGAAGGTCCCTGCCTCTCAAGTGGCCCCTTCATTCCTTGTCTGGCTCATAACCTTCATGTAGGTTTTGAAGATTTCTTGGACTTGAACTGGTTTGATGTGGTTTCCTGGCTCCACATAGGAGGAGAAATAAATAAGGAAACAACACATATTAAGGCCTACTAGGTACCATCTTTTGTAGATATTCCCCTTGTATTCATCTCATTTATTCCTCATAAAACCATTTCATGAAGATGTTATTTTTATATAGAAGAGGGAACAAGTGCAGAAAAGCTCAGAGATTTGCCCAAGGTAAAACAGTTTATAGAAGGTGGATGCAAGCCTGGCTGCAGAAAACTGTTGCCGACAGCGTTCTTGGTGACAAAGAAAGGTCAGGACTGAGAGTGTGGACCACCCCATGCAACCCATGCCCACTTTGGGTGGCTTTCTTTTATGTTTGTGAAAGCAGATGCTTGGCACATTTCCAACCTCCCTGAGCCCTGAAAGAAAACATCCATATGGGGAAAACTCTCCAGACAAAAGATCGCCAAAAGCCAGAGGCCTAAGGAGGCACAGAGCTCTTCTGAGATGGCAATTTAGTGATAATAAAGAGAGATACCCAAGGGCAAACATTGCTTTCTGTTTCTTGAATCCCTCAAAGAATGTTGGTACTTTATGACCTGAAAATAAATACCTCTTTCGTTGAGATGGCTTCAGGCAAGAAGAATAATATTATATGGCAAGCAAATTCATCAAGCAGCAGGAATGTGGCCTCTCTTCCTCTCTCTTTGTACTTCCATTAAGGAATGAGCCATAATATTTCCCTTTAGTGAGATAACATTTGTAAGGTTGCATTTTCCTTTGTGATTTTCGGCTGCAGCCAGGCCCTCTGCAGGAGAGCATCCTGTTTCATTAATACCTACGTGCAGTCCTCAGGCTCTGTGTAGCATCATCAGTTAAAAAGGTGTCTGGGTCCCTTTGACAACTTGCTTCAAATTATCGGCTTAGAATACCTCAGAGTCTTGAAATTTTTGAACGCAGCACTTGGCTGAGTTGGGAGTGAGGAGATGCCACAAAACAATGGCATTGCAATGCTTTATAAGTTTAACATATTAAATTACAAATTAGTTTCCAAATAGTACTATATGGAAATGGGCTTCTTGTCTAAGAATCACGGAACAATGGTCAGATAAACACTTTAAAAAAAACTATGTGATACAGGGGCTATTTAGGGACATCTAATGTCTGAAGGGCTTAATTATGACTAATAAAATTTATGTGTGGGAGAAAAGCATTCCATTATTAAATGCATGCTTCTCCTTGCTCTGAGATCTTTTATGTAAAGGAAATGCAGAAAAGTCATAAAAATAACAACCATCATAATGAGTATTTGCGTGCCGTGCCAGCTGTTTGGCATACACCTTTATATCCATTGTCACAATGGCACTGCTCAGTGGACAGAATCAAAGTGCTGGTTCCATTGAATAGATGTGAAAATTGAGGCCCAACAAGAGGCTTGACTTGTCCAAGGTCACAGCTAAAAAGTGAGAAGATGGGACTCGAAGCTGGACTCTCCAAAGCCAGCTACAGCCCTCTTCCCACCACATCACGCGGCTTCTGTCGGAAATAAGTACTGGGGGCAACACTCATGCCCCATTCAGTTCCATGTTCAATCCTGACTCTGGGCTCAATGTTCAAGGCTAGTCCCACCCCCAGAACCTTCCAGCGGTCACCTCTAGTTCTACCCTTTACAGTCCAGGAGGGACATTTCAGCTGGGATTTTTCTGTTTCTCCCAGGTGACTCCATGGCCTACCACAATGGCAGATCCTTCTCCACCTTTGACAAGGACACGGATTCAGCCATCACCAACTGTGCTCTGTCCTACAAGGGGGCTTTCTGGTACAGGAACTGTCACCGTGTCAACCTGATGGGGAGATACGGGGACAATAACCACAGCCAGGTGAGTGGACCATGAGGGCCCAGAGCAGGCAGGGCTTGGGAAGCAGGAGGGGTTGATGGAAGCAGAATTTAACCCCCATCCTAGCAGAGATTAGGAGGCAGGAACCTTACTTATATAACAACATGTTTTTCCCAAGACAGTGAGCAATCTCAAGGACACTGCAGGTAGGTAAAATAGAAACAGCACGGGTAAACGCTTGACGATCCCAAGGACAACCACTGGTCAAATGGATTCCAAACAGAGACAGGTTTCCTCACACAAAGCTTTCCTCTCTGTCTGAAACCCAAACATAAAGCAAATAAAAGTAGAGGCCTTTTAGGTGAAGCAGGGTTGATGACACAGAACCCCTGGACTGGGGCACCTTTAGGTTCCCAAGAACACCTTGAAATGAAGTCCACAGACTTTAAGTCTCCTCATTATGTGAAGAAACCAAGGCCCAGAGAAAGCTGACTTTCCTGAGATCACAGAGTGAAGTTGGCAGCAGAGCCAGCTCTCCCTACTTCCAGCGCCTGGCATTTCCCCTGCACCACACACACCTCTAGCACTTCTTCCGCAGTCACAGAAACAGACTTTTTTTGATCCCCTTTAGAAATAGGCCAACGGATGAAATTCAGCAATCTCCCTTACTCTGAGCCCTGCCTACACTGGCACATTCCTGAAAAGTATAAAGATAAGTGGGACTGGCCACTTAATCACAACCAAGCACCTGCCCAGTCCCTCCACAGCACTCACCATCCCAGGGAGGAGGGATGGGTGTTCCCATGTGGCCACACCACACTGAGCTGGACCGCAAGGATTTTCAAGAGGTCTGATCACTGGAATCCCAAGGAATTAATGAAAATGCAAAGGCCCAAATTACGCTTTATGACAACCCCAGGTATTCTGATTCAATGATCTCAGGCAAGATACAGCATCTTCTCTTTTTTAATATTTCCATTTTTGGTGTTGGGTTGCTGCTATTGTTGTTGTTAGATTCCACAAGTGATTTCTGACATGCAGCAGGTGTTGGGACCTGTTGCTCTTCAATATTAGTAATTTTGATACATGTGTTTATGCCCTAGTTAACAGCTAGCAAGTAACACCTGCAACCTTAAGTGTAGACCTTACCTTACATAATTTCTGCTACTTTTCAAAACACTCTTACCTTCCGTATCTCAAGTGCTTATCACTTTTACCCTGCACAGGAATTGGGATGTGGTTTTTCATGCCTGTGTTACAGAAGAGGCAAGAGTTACAGGACATTTCTTGACAGCAGTCCTGTGTTATTTCCATCTTATTGTGCTACTTCACCAATACTTCCATTCTGGTTTTTTTTTTTTTTAAATGATCTTTATTGCCCTGTCTCAAAACACCTGTGTAACACAAAGTTCTTCTGGGAAAAAAAATAAGCTACATGTCAGAAAGCAAGCCTCTCTTTCCATCCTTCCATTCTGTTTTGGAAGAAGAAAGAGATGACGTGGAATGGAGCCACAGGATCTGAGCCCCAGCTCCGGCTCTGCTCCAGCTGCTGTGTGGCCTCTGTGAAGTCACTCTCCCTCTCTGGCTTTAGTGTCTACCACAGTACAAGAAGGTGTGGCTTCCAGCCCTGAACTATTAGAGGAAAGAACCAGGACAAAGGGAGGCAGCGTGTGCACCAGGCTGTTGGATTACCGTATTCACTGTAACTGAGTGATTACAAGCACATTTACCCATAAAATGAATGAGCCATTCTTAAACCTCACGTCCCTATAAGACTCAGAAGCCACTCATGTCAGTGAATGCCAAAAAATTAGAAGCAAATAAACTGTCTCTATTTTTCTCCCATCTCACTAGCCATTACTTCCCCACAGTGGGGCAAGGGGCCATGTGGGGTTCGATGGGTGGACTCTACCACCTGTAGACTTCACTAAAGGGTCTAACTTGGAACCTGGAAGCCAAAACATGATTACAGGCTTTTCTTGTAGAAAGCTTTGGCCAAAATTTCAAGGATATTTCCCCCTACTTGAGACTAGGGAAGTAATATTTACCAACCACCTACAATGTGCTCAGCTCTGTGATAGCTCATTTACAAATCCATTTAATTTTCATCACATCTTTCAAGGCTAGCATTGTCAGATCTTAAGAAAGAAAAAAAAATAGTAAATATTGAGAACTTGTTTAAGGCTATTTAGCCCTCAGGTAAGAGCACTAATATTTAACCCTATATGTCATGTTGCAAGATTTGTGTTTCATTCATGTTTTTTCTGCTATTCCATATCAAACCCCTATTAAAATACTCCATAGAAATCCTGTGAATTACAGACATACACACATATACCCTGTATATAGCTACTCAATTCCAGAACCTCTAATCATGGCCTTAATTCCTTCACAATTTATTCCTTAGGATGGCAGGTTTCATCAGCCACAATTTGCTTCAAGATGACAGCCCAAAGCTCCATGCAAACTCAGGTGACTCTTGACTAAGGTGAAAAATTGGGTCAGATTCAGCCAGTCCCTTTGAAAGTTTTCACAACCCAGACCAACAGAGAGATAGGCAAGAGGCAGCTGTGATACACCAAACAGTCAAGTTGAAACAGAACTCATTTAGTTTGAACGACTAAATAGCAATGATCAGTGCACACCTTGCCTAACAGTAACCAACCTGGGGGACTTCTCTTTTTTTTTCCTACAGGGTGTTAACTGGTTCCACTGGAAGGGCCATGAACACTCAATCCAGTTTGCTGAGATGAAGCTGAGACCGAGCAACTTCAGAAATCTCGAAGGCAGGCGCAAACGGGCATAAATTCCAGGGACCACTGGGTGAGAGGGGAATAAGGCCCAGAGCAAGGAAAGGATTTTACCAAAGCATCAATACAACCAGCCCAACCATCGGTCCATACCTGGGCATTTGGTGAGAGTCAAAGCTGACCATGGATCCCTGGGGCCAACAGCGCCAGCACGGACCTCACCTCCTATGTGATTTCTTTCTTTGCACCAAAGACATCAGTCTCCAACATGTTTCTGTTTTGTTGTTTTGATTCAGAAAAGATCTTCCAGTGACGACATCACAATGGTTTTTACTTCTCTTGGGTGGCTCTGGGAATGGGAAGAGGGGTAGAATGTACAGGGGTAGTTTGTTTTAGAACCAGCCATATTTTACATGAAGCTGTATAATTAATTGTCATTGTTTTTGTTAGCAAAGATTAAATGTGTCATTGGAAGCCGTCCCTTTGATTTTTTACATTTCATATGACAGAAACCAGAAAAGCAATACTGTTTCCATTTTAAGGATATGATTAATATTATTAATATAATAATGATGATGATGATGATGAAAACTAAGGATTTTTAAAGAGATTTTTCTTTCCAAAACATTTCTGGACAGTACCTGATTGTATTTTTTTTTTAAATAAAAGCACAAGTACTTTTGAGTTTGTTATTTTGCCTTTTGTTGTTGAGTCTGAATTTCATGAAAGTCCATCATTTGAACAAAGGGAGGAATGCTGGGACTGGAAAGGCAAGTAGGACTGGTGGTCAAGTGGGAGGGGTGGAAGGAGACTGAAGACTGGGAGGAAGGAAAGCACTGTTTTAAACAAAGTTGAACATGTTTGGGAAAAGCTTACAGGCCAGGCATGGTGGCTCATGCCTGTAATCCCAGCATTTTGGGAGGCTGAGGTGGGAGGATCGCCTGAGCCCAGGAATTGGAGACCAGCCTAAATAACATAGTGAGATTTTGTCTCTACAACAACAACAACAAAAAAATTAGCAATTATGGTGGTGCACACTTGTAGTCCCAGCTACTCAGGAGGCTGAGGTGGGAAAATCACTGGATCCCAGGGGCTCAAGGTTACAGTGAGCTGTGATCACACCACCGCACTCCAGCCTGGGTAACAGAGGGAGACCTGTCTCAAAAATAAAAAAGAAAAAAAAGCTTACAACTTGAGATTCAGCATCTTGCTCAGTATTTCAGAGACTAATAGATTATGGTTTAAAAGATGCTTTTATACTCATTTTCTAATGCAACCTTTTAGAAACTCTATGATATAGATGAGGTGAGGATTGTTATCGCACAAGGGCTAAGATCCCCAGAGGCAGACCGCCTGAGCTCAATTATTGGCTCCACTATTCCTAAGTTCCCTAACCTCACTATGCCTCAGTTTCCTGTTCTGTAAAGTGGGGATGCTCGCACTTCTTATTTCAGAACATTTCTGTGAAGAATAAATTATGTTATCCATTTGAGGCCCTTAGACGGGAGCCTGGGGTATATTTAGTGCTAGTACGTTGTAGCCATCACCATTGTCACTTTATATGAGAGGGACTGTGGTTCATAGAAACCCAATGACTTGATTGTGGCTGCTACTCAATAAATAATAGAATTTGGATTTAAACCCCGGTCTTCTGGCTCCAGTGTTCCCTCTGTCTTCCAGTCTCTCAATGAAAATTTCTCCATCTTTGGGGAAATGTGTGCTGTGGCAAAAGAGTACAGGTTGCAGAATGGGGTATGGGGGAAAGTTCAACTGGATGCTTCATCAGGTTTCTACCATCCTGAACTCTTAGAACTAGGAAGAATGTCTATTAGGAATATTGCCTTCTCCCCTACATCACAGTCCCCAAAATGGGACAGACCCCATCTTCCAACAACCTAAGACTGAACACATCTAGTGATGGGGAACCCATTGCCCTGGATGGCAGATCTGTTCGTCCTCAGAAAATACAGTGAGTCAGAACCACTCAACACATAACATTTCTCTTTTTAAACAAGGGCAGGGAGAGTAATTCCCTGTTCATTCTCTTAGGGATTTTCAGAAAATTGACTTATTTAATAAAATAAGTCAAATTTAGGCTGATAGGCCTCATTCAAATGGAATGTGATGGCTCCGAAGCAAGGATCAGAGGAATTTATGGCTCCAGCCATATCCTTTGTTGCTGAGTTTATCTTGCTTTAATAAATGCTGTCATGTTATATATACAACTTGCTGTTCCAGATCATAAGAACTGTTTGCATGCAATTCAGCCATAGCAACACTCTCCTGGCTGTGTAAATCCAAACAAACGGGCTCCCTGCAGCAACCAGGCCTCAAGCTGGAGGCTTACCTCTCCACTGGCTGCTGACTTGTGAGTCTCTAAACCCAAGCCCTATTATCCCCTCTCCAGAACTGTGGATGTACCTAAGCTTTAAGGTATTCCCCACAAGCCACACAAGAATCGGATTTGGGTTAGTTAAGAAGCCACATCAAACAAGAGTCAGTAATAACCCAAATGGGGACAGGGCAGGCAACAGGGTCTGGGGCCAGGTCATTCAAAGACCACAGTCTCTAGTGTGAGCTTACCATTTCTCAAACATGTCCTTCAGTCTCTGCCTCTGTGGCTTAGTTCAGGAAACCTCCTCTGTCTTGAAAGCTCCCTTAAAATTCCACTTCACCCTCAAGGCTTGGGCCCTATCCCTGCCCCAACAAAACAGTCGAAATGTCTCAATTGGGAAGTAATTTCCAGGGTGTTCCACCTTCCCCTTGTTCCTTATCTCATCTGCTCCCCTTCTCCCTGCTCTGTGAACTTCAAGGCCATCCTATATGGATTACATCAATGATCCCCAGCTTCCAGGTGGGTGACAAAATGGGAAGAGCCAACAGGACATTGAAGAGAAGAGATTAAGAGTAGGGGTGGGTCAGGGCACTGGTTGCCCGGCTCTGTCTATACAGCATCACTGTGATCACTGTGGGCTGTCAATGCCAGCATAAGAGAGCTGTAGCCACTGTTCACTGACTGTCTCCATGCAATTCTCTCTTCAGGTTTAGAAAACAGCTCTCTCACTTGCCTCTTCTGGCTTACGAGTGGTCACTGCACCCTAGCTGCTGCTAGCCTTGAGGACCTGTGCCAGCCTCTGTGGCTCTCCTCCCTCCTGCCCACACCTTTGGGAAAAACGCCTCTCCTTTAACTCTCCTCAGGGACACCAGTAGGCTCGTCCACCCTTGGGAGCACTGAATGCCACTGTTAGAGCTGCCGGCTGGCCTTATCCATTATAATTTCTACTTCCTGCCTCTCTTCCTAAAGTGATTATTAGTCATTTAATGGCTTCCCAGCATCCAAACTCCTTTCCGGTTTCAGGAAATTTGAGAAACTTGCCTCCCACCAAGGAAGCCACAAAGGAAAATATTCTTTCCTCCTCCCTTTGGTAGCCAGGGCATGGGCACGTAACTTAGGCTTTGCCAATTGGATACCCACAGAGGGACTTCTAACCTTTAGCAAGGAATGCAAAACAAAGAGCGTAGGACACTGGCTCCCCCATGGGGTCTAGCAAAGGGGCCATCTATCCGTGGGATCTGTGGCCCGGCACGTCTCTGTCTAACAGTGACAGCTGTTTCCAGCAGTGACAAAGGCAGACTGGCTGATGGTTCCTGCTACCTGGCCTCCTTTGGTTCCTGATAATTTTCTGTGCCTGCTTCTTCAAACTTCCTGTCAATTGTATGAGCTTCCTGATATCCTTCCAGAAAATTCCTTTTCTGCTTAGGTAGTCCCAGATGATTTCAGGTGCTAGAAGCCAGATACCTTGGCTAGTACTTTCCTCACTAGACCATGAGTCCGTGACATTTTTTGACCCTCTTGTAGTCCAGCACTGTGTTTGACATTTTAAATATCCAAAGTCATCCAAGCATCACGGTCACCTGTGAGACAGACCAAACTATTCTGTCACATAGGAAACTAGGCCTCAGAGGGGTCAGGTAGCTTCTTGCAGCCACATCGCTGGGATCAGACCAAGATTCACAGCCAGGCTGCCTGGTTCCAAAATCAGAGTTCTTTTCAGCGAGAATATCTTACTCATTTCAACAAGCCACACTAAATGGAGAACAGCATTTTATTCATTTCACAAATGTCTGTGGAGCACCTCCCGTGTGGATTTGTCAGTGGAAAAAAGAGGAAAAGTTCCCTGAGGTCACAGCGTTTATATTCTAACAAGAAACAGTGAACGATGAATGTAATAAATGATCAAATGAAACAGTATAGTCAGGGGTACTAAGCACTGTGGGAAAAAGGAAAAAGTGGACTAGGGTAAGGGGACAGGGTCACAGTGTTATAGTAGGGTGGTCACACAGGTAGGGCTGAGAAAAACCCTCGAGAGGCACAGAAGATGTGCTCAATGAATATATTTGTTTCATTGAATTCATGCTCATTTCTTTCCTTCTAAAGATGGGGAAACAGCAGTCCAAAGGGGGCTGGGGATTGCCCCAGGTACCACAGCATCCAGGCAGTAAATTCTGATGAGAATCCATCAGATTCTGCTTGTTCCTCTGCAGGATGCCATGGCTGTCTGTTCTCCAGAAGGAGAGACACCTTGAAGTTTCTTCCTCACTGAACCTCCTATGACCTGTATGCTCTCAAAACAGCTGGCGACACAGCCCAGTCCTTCCCGCTTCTCAGCTTGCCCCATCCAAGCCATTCTTCCCACCATGCCTTGCCTAACCCCAGAGAATCAGACAGCTCCTGTGGGCTGTGCTCATCGGTCTTCTTCTCCCAAGATTCTCATTTCTCATTTCATTTAAAAATCAGTATTGAGCACCTCTCCGCTTATGCTCAGCACTGCGTGAGCAAAATAATCACATTCCCTGACTCCATGCAGCCTCTGTGCCCCGGAGAGGTCAGTGACAAACACATCATCAGACAAGCAAATGCGTAATTACAAACTGAGGGCTGTGTTTTAGAAGCAAATAGAAAAAGCTATGAAGACGTCTAAAGGGGATCTGATGGGGAAGGCTCTCTGAGGAACAGGCATTTGGAACCCAGATCCAAACAGCAAGTAGAAATTAACCAGGCAAAGGAAGCAGGGGAGGCAGAAGGCAGGTATCTCTATAGCCCTGTGGTTGTCAGGCTGTGCACAGAGACAGTCAGAGGTATAGAGGCAAAAGACACATCATGGAAGATGAGGTTTCAGGAATCAGCAGGAACCCAGCCATGCAAATCTTTCTGGTCCAGAATAAAGATTTTGCTCTTTACCTTCAATGCAATGGAAAGCTACTGAGAAGTTTTAAGCAGGAGAGCATTGTAATCACAACTAGCTGCTTTTTTTTTTTAAGTCATCTTTTTTGTTGCATTTGTATTTGGGCTGGAAGGTGCAACGTGGGAAGAGACCTATGAGGAGGCTACTGCAGAAATCCAGGTGAGAGATGATGGAGTTAGGCTAAGTCTAGTGTTGCGGAGACAGAGCTATGGTTCTGAGAGATATTGAGAAAGTCAGACGAAGACCCCAGAGAGCTCTCTATGTCCCCACCCTTGTTCCTAAACAGCCATCAACTCCTATAGTGGATTTTTCCTGGATGTGGGTGTCAGTTTTAATTAAAGCAGGCTAGTTAGGGATAGAGGAAACTGGAGTCAGGGGCCTATTAACTCCTGGAGCTGAGAGGCCACAGGGTCCTGGAGCACTAGGTTAGGGTGCGGAAGGAATCA